AGTCATTTCATTATGCAGTGGTGTTATGGTGCACTGTAAAAAATTTAATGATTTTTCCATGTCCTGGCAGAAAGTTCTAACATGTTGAGGTGCGTTTGCAAGCTATTATACTGTGTCAGTGGGCTTTTTGCTAGCAAGGATGCATATTATTCTGTGTTTAAATGATCTAGAGACGTTTGTCTGCAAAACTCACAACAAAAAGGTATTTGATCAATGGCTTCTCACACCAATTGTTCTAATTTGTTTCCCCACCATTTGACTGAGACAAATACTGGAAGCTTACCAATATTCATATTACAAAGCACTTTCATTCATATCAGGAGAAGTCATATAGCTGCATGCTTCCAAAACCAGTGTGACACCTCTGTAAATATTTTGTTGACACTCTACATTATTGACTTTCAGCAGAAACATTGTTATTCTGAGACGTTCAGGCAGAGCTAATGGTGTGTGTTTACAGTATCCCAGAACCTCTCTGGTCAGCCTTCTCATCTGACATAATAGCAGCTGAGCAATTTCCTGAAATTCAGTCTTTGACAACTTGAGGTATATATTTATATCCATACAAAATACCTGAGATTTTACAATAAATGCAAAAGACAGCCATAATGAAAGGTGATTCTGAAGGATGCACATACAGTATGTGGAAAATTATGGCATGCTGCTTCACTACATTTACATGTGAAGCTATGAAAACAAACGGAAAGCAAAATATTTAAAGTTGTCAGTTTTGTGCTGAAAATCTAACTTTCTTATTCAGTTATTCAGACCATGCATTAGGATATTTCAAATAAATCTCGAAGCAGTTGCAACTGCTGATTGAAAATACCTCATATATATCTCAAATATAACACCCATTCATAAAAAAAGAGCCAAACACAGAGAAAGTGAACTACAAACTAATCAGACTCACCTTCATTACACATGGAGTAATGCAACAGTTAGAAAGTAAACCACTTGAAAAACTAATTCATAGACTTGAAGTTAAAGTTCCAAGAATCCAAGGTAATGTGTACTGGGATAAAGAGTGGGTTAAAAGGCAGAAATCACAGGTTCTGAGGAAAAGAGTTACAGTACATCAGACTGGTGTAAAGTCATTAGTGGAATACAAGAGAGATCAGTGCTAGGACCTCTGATATTTAATGAACGATCGTGATTCTGCTATATAGAGTCAATGTGTCACTATGACAGATGATCCAGAAATAGTTGGTGTCAAAAATAGTGTAACAGCATCACAAGCAATACAAGTAGACTTTGACAAGATTCAGAGATTTGCCAGGCATTACTAGAACATCAAAATCACAACTTATTTTTGTGGGGTTAATAACCATTGTTATGTTCTAGAGAATATACATAATCAAAAATGTAATCTACTCGAATAACAGTGAAAGCTTTGTGACTTTCAAATTACTCTTCCCAAGATACCAGCTGTTGAGCCCATGTCAAGTTTTGATGTTTTCAATCAATAACTTAAAATTCTGAATGTGTTCTTCAGTTCAACATACACTGTAAGACAACTGCAATCACTACCACATACAAGAAGAACAGGAAATCCTATTTAGCTTCTGCATAATATGCACTGTTGATGCACTTGATGAACTAATACTAGCAGTGTGCAGCAAACTCAGAGGGTCATGGAGTCAAGTGGCAGGCAAGACATTGGTGTTATACCCTTGAACAAGTTACAGTACATCACTCTGACTGCCCCACAAAATACCCTGACATGAATTCGTTCTCAAATGACTTAACAAGCTGTCAAATTATGGATTTCAAAAATTAATTCAGAACACAAACATCTATTGTAATATTTTAGTTTTCAACTGCAAGGAAGACAATGACACAGAAAGATGGAAATGAGAAAGAAAAGCAGCGGGAGATTAAAAATAACTTATCGTAAATACAGACCTGCAGATGTCAAACAGGAAGGACTTTGGCCATTAACATCACTGTGCTTCCTGTCTGATACACAGGAGCTGCTGCATGTCAAAATTCACCAAAATTCAGTGGCAATCCAGACTTCAAACTGCAGGCATAATGCAGTATGAAATAATTTTGCCATTATAGGGAAAAGATCACATAGGGTTAGGAGAAAAGTTGTCTGAAGGGAAGCATCTAGGAAAACTCATCATGTTATCTTGGGTGTGTGGCATTTAATTCTAGGAAACCCTTATTGCTCTTTCTTAGCTGACAAAGCCCACATATGTAGGCTTTTCCTCAAATATTTGCCAGATGGAACATTTCTGATGCTCCTGTGCTGCTGTGATACACTATTTGACAGGCACAATGGTAACAAAAACAATGATAAAATAATTAAGAAAAAAACACATTTTAGAAGCTGGATGACTTGTATTCCTTGTATAATAGAAAGAAAAATCCAGATTTTTTGTACGGAAAAGATTTACAATCTCTGATACAGTGTTTGAAATGCCAAATTATACTTCTTCTGTAGTGGTACAGGTTTGAAAAAGAATGGAAAAGTCTGGGTATGCTAGATATTAGTAGAACAAATTGCTATCAATTCGATACTACAGTACTTTTCACCTTTGAGACTGAAAAATTAAAATGTAAGATGTTAACCATAGTTTGTCTATGAAATTTGGAACATAGCTGTGAGAAACTGGGTGAGCAATCTGACCAGAGACCTGGGCTTCTGTGGGCTGAAGTGGGCTTCTCCCATGTGAACTTGCTGATGGGGCTCCCACGTAGTAGGGTTGCTCTGTCCGAGCACAAGCTGAAGTGGATGGCTTGTTTGAGCCTGGGTCATGCCACGAGCCCACTGAGATGGAGAGTCCCCTAGTGGTGGTGCACTTGGCAGAGCTCCGTAAGGGAGAGGGCTGGGATTAGTTGGCCAGGATCGTCTTGGCCAAAGAAGCATGAGGTTTCCCAAGTGCCTGAATACTCAAGTCCTGCCAGTGAGAGGTGGACATGCCACTGCTCCAGCTGTGGTGCACCATAGAACTTGCAGTGTGTTTGCAGATAAATGCCTCAACAGGGGGAAGCTCAGACGAACATGTCTGCCCTTCCTCATTCTTCATGTGCTGTACTGGGGTCTCCCCTGTGACCTCAAATGTAAAGTCATGAGTGAATTTATAATGGGAGTGTAAATCGTGAACAAAGGTGTTCTCTTGACCATGGGCTAAGTTGGCATTTCACTATGGATAGTAATTGTGAAGCACTCTGGTTGTACAGTGGTTAGCATTTTTGTCTCACAGCACTGGGGCCCTGGGGTGCTATTTGTGTGGAGTTTGTACTGGATGTTCTCCCTGTGTTCGTGTACTTTTCTCCTGGTGCTCTGGTTTCCTCACACGGTCCAAAGGTGTTTAAATGGCTTCAGGGAAAATTAGCCCTGGTGTGAGTGTGTGTGCCCTGTGATGGACTGGTGTCCTATACAGGGTGTATCCTGCATTTCACCTTTTGCTTGCTGAAATAGACTCTGACTTCCCCATGAGCCTGTAGTGGATAAAACAGTTAGAAAAAAGATGGATGGATAACAGCAACTGTAACCATGAAATGTCTCCTCTAAAATGAAATGCACTCATAAAGGTAAGGGTAAAACAGCAGCACATGTCTGCTTAATGCCACTGAAATTAATTTCCTGCATGTCTGTGAGCAGGGAACTTTGCTGTAAGCATTTTAAACACTAACCACTGCTTTATTGACAGTTTAAGCCGTTTATCTTTTCACCAGTTATAGACTAGGCAGTAAAACATTTTGTTACCAAGGAAAATGACTGCCTTTATCTAATATTGAGGTGTGGTGATTTTGGGTAAGAATTGCATACTGCTTTGACAGCATCACTGAAGTCTGTTTAAATAAGTGACGCAGTTAAGAAGTTGTTTTTTCTGATTGTCTGATTTATGCCAACATCTATGTACCCCAGAAAATGTTTAAGAATTGTTTAACATGTTCAAATGCTCTTATTTAGTGAATTTTGAATATTTGGTTAAGTGAGTTGCTGTTTCAGAAGGACTGTCACTAGAATACTCCTGATAAGAAAAGCGGTTGCTTTCTGTGCTCTTCACCTCTAATATCCCTTTATATATTTATAAAATCCCCCTTAATATCTTGGCTTAAAGCAAATTCTTGTTTGGGAAGCAATAATTAATGCACCCATCACCAGAACTCTATAGCAACATAAATGTAATTGAACTAACAAGTGTAAATGAGGATTTCTACAACTATACCGTATTAATTACAAACCACTTTACAGTTTAAGGTACCTTAGAGAATAATCTAGAGATACAACTTGAACGACTCATACTATGGAAAATGGCAAACTTGCAGTGCATCGAGTAGGCAGTGTTTAAGCAAAGGAAGTTAAAACGAGTGGCAAATTCTTTGACTCTCTTCAAATCTAAACTATAAACTTACCTTTCACTAGGGTCTATTTATGTCTGATGGCCCTACATTCTGTCCTGTGTGGTTTTAATTGTTTCCTTTTTACTTTTACTGTACGTTTTTGTCCTTTTATCACAATGTACAGTGTTCTTGGTATTGGAAAGGCTTTTTATAATTTTCAAATGATTTATTATTAGATCATCTATTTATAATTGTTGTTATAATTATTATTATATCATTGTATATTATTGTATACATACTACAAAAATAACCTGGATGGCAAAAACACCTACATAAAGAACTTCATTAATGTGGGACTGTATAGCATGTACGGTAATATGACCATCCTACCTGTAAGTGTAATCAAGACAAATTTAGGTCGCTCTTTCTCCTTAATTTCAAGTGAAGAGGCCCACAAATACACAGAATATAGAGAACAGGACACTTAGGGGTTAACAGACTGAGCAGTAGGTGTAGGCAGACTCAGGTATGTGATCTGTTTGGCTTGTTGGCAAGGTGCTGCTGGTGTTCTTGCACTGTGTAATCTGACACCACGATAGGAACTGTAAAGCAAAAACACAAAATGAGGAACAGGATTTTCTGGTCTTGACCACGTTAGGAGCAACTGCTTTATTCTCACCTCATCACATTTATGTCTGAAGGTGGTGGAAGTCCGGCAGAGGGCATGAACGCATCATTTGAGAGTTAGCGACAAGGGCAGGTAAGGCCGATACTACAAATGTTGATGAAGGTGAATACTGTGCGACAATTCCAAAGGCCAACAATAAACATAATACCCTATGCTTCTATAAAACTCTGGGTTGGTAAGCACTGATGCAGCCAGTACTCAGCTAATCTGCCTACTGTAGTTCCTTTCTTTTCACACGTTGCTGCATGCTTACAGAAAAGATGGTTAAAAGTTAGTTCCTTCAGTACATAAGAATGGATGCAGTGGTGAAACTAACCCAAGGTCCACTTAAAAGCTGTCATCAAGCTGCTTAAAAGACTCCTCTTGGAAATTAGCAATTGCCAAACGTGTGGAAGACATACTAAAATTATTGCTTGGTTTGCACGTTTAACCGTTATGATTGAAAGTGGCGTGCAGGTGCTTATTTTAGAAACTGAAAGACCATGCACAGTTCACTGTAGTGTTAATTCTTCATCTTGTTATTTCTTGGTTGCTGGAATGGGCTTGACCTACAGGTCAGGAAAAGTATTTGTAAGCTATCAGTCATTAAATGTAGTCTACTGTACATAATATAAAGCAGTAAGTCAACTTACTTCAGCAGTTAAGTAAACTGCATGAACCTATCATAATATTGTTGGTATATAAACTAAAACATTAATAAAGCAATGCATTAATATACAATATTACTGCTTGTTAATTTCTATGTGATGCCTAAACAGATTACATAGTTCAAATATTTTTTAACAATATAATAAAAGGCTATGATAGGCAGTTTATCTCTTCTTAATATGTTAGATGTGTACGGAAACAAGAAAAATGCTGCTTTTGTTGTAGGTTTAAGACATTAAATGTAAAGGTTCACACACTTAAAAGCATGACCCCCGTGTAAATGCAAAGAGGCTGTAAGCAACAACCACGAGGAAAAAAAGTTCTGAAACCAAACAGTGACAGCAAACAGCTTTCAAAACAGAGGCTTGTGCAGCAAGCCTTGGTGATATTTTCCATTTCAGACGAGACACAACCCTTGGGTTGCTGCTGAGCGGGTGTGCAGCTGCTTGTTTGCATGTTCTTGTTTGCCGTGACGTGGTCAGCCAGCTTCCTTCCTGCAGCTTTTTAAGACTCAAGTAGAGATAAGGAAATAGTTTAGAGAGAACAGCAGAATGACTAACAGACTCCAGAAGAGCAGCTACAAGCTTGTATGTTAAAGAGCAAAGTGTGAAACAAAAGGGGCTCGTCTGACTGGCGACTTGAACTCTGACAGCTAAACTTGCTTCTCGAAAAGGAACTGCTGCTCACATGGCGGAACAGCCCCTGAACCTTGAACTGGCATCTCTTCTGATCTAAGTGATTGTTTTCAACTGGTCTTCAGCTGTCCAACTCTAAACCATTCTTGTACTGCTGTTCTAACGTTTGAAAGCTAAAACAATTGAAAGCAGTTTCTTTTTCCCGTTCTTTGCAGAACAAAGTTGGACTGTGCTTTTCTTAACCACCTAAGGATGGAGACAGGGGAAAGATAATTCGCTTCAGACCACCTGAATTGTTTCTGAAACCTTGGATAACGTGCCACGCTTTAAGGATGACGTTTCTTTTTTAAACATTTGTTTTATCGGTGGTCTTCGGCATCTGCTCTGCTTCTCCCAAAAGACACTATCAACAAGCGTAAAGCTGATCTGAAGAAATAATCATACTAAAACAAGCTTTGCAGAAAACCACAAGAAGATTGTGAAGACCCTTTGTTATGAGCTTCTAAACCTCAGGGAATGCATCACTATGGCTGCAGCAGTTCAGCAGAGTGAGCTTGTTTTTGAGTTTGCCAGCAACTGCATGGAAGACATACAACAGGTAAGGTGTAACAAATATTATTCATGAGAGACTGAGTATTGTATAGTCTTCTAGTGCCTATCACTAACGATTTCAGGAATTTAAAATGACAAAAAGTTTAGAAAGAGCATTTAACTAAAAGAGCATGATTTAAAAAAGCATTCAAAGTTGTACGACACAAAAAGCTGTCAAATTGGTAAAAGCATAAAAAGATGGCAAGATAAATAAATTACTTTTCCACACAGGTGCAAGTAAACTGAGGTCTTCAGACACTGTCAGGTCTACATGCCTTTCATATTTACCACACTACATATAAGAATATAAATTCACGTTGAAAAAAACACACCAAGACAAGGCCAAGCCCATTAAATGTATTTTAGCCTAAAACAATGTGCTTTTCAAAGAAACATTTTCTGTAATTTCTGCTGATGTCTCTGGTACTTGAAAATATGCTTCATCTAAATTTACTTCATGAAATTCATAAAAAAGGTAACGTGCTTTTTTTGTATCACTAAGCCATAGGTTTCATTTATGAATGCTCAATAACAAGTACAAAAGAGTTAATGGCTATTTAAAGGGACCGTGTTAAGATATAGTGGATGTTGTTATTGTTATATTGCAGCAAAATGTTATTAGTGTTATAGTGCACTAAATATAAACAATTTTTCTCAAACTTTCTATTGCGAGCTAAGTGGATTTCCGAGCACTGTAAATGTTGGCACTTATGAAATCCAGCTGTTATTTCTACAGATAATCAAATCATTCTCTCAGTCTGTGAACAAATTTTGTACACAAAAGGGAGTGGTTTTAGTTTCTGTAACCCAGGCTAAAGACTTTCTAAAACACAAAACTCTGTCTGAATTGTAAATACTCTACAGTTGTGCATTTCAAATATGGTGAAAATAAAAAAAATGTATGTGCATAGTTAGAAGTAGTTCGAAAAAACATTTGCGACCTTGAATATTTCCCTCTTTATATACATTTATCTTTCACATTTGCAATTTTTGAAACCTAAACAAACCTGATTTTTTTACTTGAGTAGTAGACACCAAATGTCTTTTTAAGCTATGTTAAGCTGTGTTCGTAAACACAAAAATTCAGATTTAATGTGTTCTTAATTAAAATTTTCTAATGACGTATATTTTCCATAAAACAGGCATAAATAAGCAACAGAAACCTCAGTATTGCAGTTTGACGTTTTTAAAAAATGTTACTTTCTTGAATTTTGATGATTTCTTATTCTCTATAACAGATTTATTAACGTGGTAAGATTTCTGTGCTTAAAAATCAAATCTCAAAAATGTTCTTCATGTACAACTGTGAGCGCAGATCACTACAATGGTTATATGCAACCTGGCACAGATTTAAAGATCCCTCCCTCTGTATCTGTGCTGTACACTGTACATCAATACAAAGAACCTGAAGCCTGAAGGCCGAGAAATATGTGGACTGAGGGGTTTATACAGAAACACTTGAAAAACCTTCAGCACGTCCAGCTCCCATTTTTTCTAACAATAGCAAACCACATTTCACTAGTCTGCTTGCCCGAAGAAAAGCAGATGAAAAGTACCCAACATTCCTGTGGCAAACAACTTTCACTTTTAAGCCATGTTAATTATAAGGCTTGTTGGGAAAACAACAAATTGTGGAAAGCAGTAAATTCCTGTCAATTATTGAGTTAATTAACCCTTAGGAAATGTCTTGATTCAGGCTAATGCCCATTCTACATATTTCATTAATCATAGCTGCTAGCTACTGTATATATAGTATTTGTGGTTTCTAATCTGCTTTTAAAAGAATATAAAGACTCGCACTGTAAAAAGTCATTTCCTCTACTTTCAAGCCCAAGCCAACAAGCAGTACAAAATGACAAGAGCAGATGTCATACCTGGAGCAACAGACTCATGCACTTTAAAAATTGTTTTCTTGCTTTCTTTCCCGTTATTGGAATTCAAGTTTAAGTTCTTTCAAGGCCAGGTTTTATTCATTCAGTAAGGCAGTAAGCTAAATTACTGTATCTTTTAAATTAGTTTTGTAGTTCAGCACATATAATGCAACATTTTATATGCTGAAACACAAAAAAGCAATAGACATCCAAACACAAAATGTTTTGTACTGTGCTCCAAAATGTAATTCACAGGGTAAGAACATAAGTATTTGGAGATGACAAATTTCCAGCATTCAGAAAATAACTTTTGACATGGCAAGAATGTTTTGCTGCATGTTAAAAAAGTGCTCCAAATTGTATTACATAAACTCGACTATATTGTTTGAAACAGTTCGGCCACTAGGGACACTGTAGCTATAGCACCACGGTATACAGTATACTGCACTGTATCTCAGTCAACCTAAACAACTAGCATGAAATTGTTTACCACAGAATCTTGCACTCTATGGCCAAGCACATATGCAAAAAAAGCCTCAAAAACAATACAAAAGTGCTTTTCCAATGTAACTAACCCAAATAAATTATCTTTAAATAATTGTGATTTTTATCCTAAGTACAGAGCCCCAAGGAAAGCTATCTTGGCTTCCTAAGATGTGTTTTAACCAGGCTAACAGATAATATTGTATCTATTCAGTCTTATAAAACACAAAACAAATTACTTCCTATTTTCATATGAAGTTAAAAATAAGGTCATGAGTGTTTGAGGAGAAAAAACAATAAGGAGTAATAAACGCTTTAAAGTCAATGATCTCCTCCCCAGTGCATGAGGCCCAGAGACTCAAACTTCACTGTGACTTGTAGGCCTGACCCATACATTAGGTCAGTGATATTCATGTCAATCTTGATTGGAAATAGTTTATCAGTTTTGATTGGGATCTTACTGTGTAATCCTCAATGAGCAGATCTGGAAACAGTGGACAGTAATATACACCATGTAAGTGACCTAGGGGGTCAACCCAAGCCATCAGGAGTCCACTTTAGAGTTAAAACGTGGTGAAGACATGGAAGTCCTGCAGGACCAAGGCCGAAAATCATGCGACTGTTTCGCAGTCTGACTGACCTCTTGTTGTGTGCAGTTGAATGACCCCTCAGTCTTCCCCGCGGTCATCGTGGAGCAGGTGCCCAGCGCTCACCTCCTGCAGGACTACTCGGGGCTGGCCTGCGCCGAGCACTCCTCGGACGTCATCCACCACAGCTCCCTAGACGTTGCAGAAGAGCAGGTCATTGTAAATGAGGACGTCACTCTTACAGGTTTGACTCTTTCTCGTTATTGTTTCAGGACAATGCACGTGAAGATGAGGCTTTGAACTAACCCACTTCATGCCTAGATTAGCTTTAAACCTCAGAGTGCGGACATTATTTGCCGTTTCGAAAGTGTTTTATGAACAGACAGTAAAGGCCCCAGGGTCTATGTGGTTAAAAGAATATCGCAGAATGAAAGACGAAACTAGTATGTCCTGAGCATACACAGCACTCAGGCTGTTTTTATTGTACTTTCCCATGTGGGAAAGTACATGTGGTACATGTGGTTTAAATGCACATGGTATAAATTTAACAAATTAATTCAGTGAGGTCCTAACAAAAATTGAGGTCGTGAATGTCAGTCAGATTTCATTGGTCCTTTCCAGAGGCACGTGCATTTTATTTTCTGCAAATTATTCCAATTAAGACTGAAGTAAAAGAAGGTGGTGTCTCACCTGCTGGAATTGGAATTTCATTTTACCAGAAAGACTTGACACCAGGCTGACTTTACATCACTCAGAACCTGTCGACTGGATCGGGTCAAGACAGGGAGGCGCTACAGCCTTGAGTCTTAATCCTTAATCCTGGGGGACCCCTGTATACCCTGATTTATCCTCCAGCCGAGTTATTAATCACAGGCGAATAACATTTGATGAATAATAACATCCACTAACTGATGCTCGTTTCTAATTGTGTGGCCTGCTCTTAAAAAGTGGAACGTGATTTGTACATAATACCAAAACTATACGAATTAGTTTCAGGCCTGCCCTTATTCAGTGGTTATCTTGAAATGTGGCAAATAAGGACCAAGATTTAAACCCACTTACGTGATCAAAAAGGTCGGACACTATGCAATGTTTTTTTTTTGTACTTTTACATGTATTTTCGTAAAGCCTTCTTTGTACGGAAGGTGATTGAATTATCAACAAACACAGATCTTCCGTGTCTATTTTACACAGAAATCGCACTTACGTCAATGAAGCTGACGAGTATCTTACAGTTATCTTTTTTTCTTCCATTTCTCAAATTCGGCCTCGGAGCAGAACCACATCGTAGCCGTCGAGTCACGGGTCTCTTTGGGTTTTCAGCAAGTGCTGTAGGGGTCAGTGCGGAGCAACAGCAGCCTGTTTCTGAACCTGCGTTTGCGTTTACTGGATCGGATACAACTAAAATTAATCCGCCGCTCCGCATAGTCTCTCTTTTTGTGCTACTGTTATAAAATAGTAGGCAAAGTTGGTATTTTAATATGCATTTATATTTTTTCGATTGCAAAAACAGACGATTTTATTACACTTCCTTCCCCTTGCGACCTTCCACACCGTGTGATGAGGGGGAGGATGGGATGTTGACAACTCTTACCCATGAAATGTTAAGTGTTTATTTGTTATTGTTCCGCCAGTACAAACTGCACTAAACGTTTTGTTTTTAAAATGCTGGCATTTGTAACAGAGAAATAAAACTGAAAAAAATAGACCCGCATTTTATCCTAAATGGCCGCTCCCCCCACCCTCCAAATGTCTACTTTCTTACAATAATTTTAGAGCCAGTGCTGATCTTCGGGGGAAAGTAGCTTTCCCTCAGAGTTTTAGTTTTAGAAACCCCGCCTCCCCAGGAAGCAGGACTGCTGGGCACATGGACCGACCTTTATCCAGGAAGTGTAGGAAAACATTCGCACTGTCCCTTTCTGTGGTTTCGCTAGGTGGTTTGTCACGTCTGTTAAAAATTACGTAGATTACTGTTATACCTCTCGGTAAAATCGAAAATAGCTAGTGGTAATCTCGGTGGATTAAAAATGTTATTTCACTACGTGACGAAGATGTACAGAGTTATTTTTTTCCTGAAAAATAAAACTGACGGTTGTAGTTGAAAGCACCCCTATTCCTGGGGTGGAGCACCAAAATAGATTCCCGGATTTATTTTTATTTTTTTTTTAACTTTGCGGAATAACTTAAAATATAAAGTGATAAAATGGCGACTACGCTTTGCCAAAGGAGAAATCAGTTGGATCTGTTAATTAAAGCAGGTAATGGTATAGACGTGACTAAGCGTTTGTGGTAAAGTGATTAAACAAAATAGGAAACGAAAGATTGTGCTTGTGAGTTAAATCGGTGAGGTGGAATTGAAAAGACAGCTAACTGGGGAGGTGTGTCGGTTCGCTACTGAAACTGTTGGCAGGGAAAGAAATGCCAGGAAATGCGTTATGCATTTTACTTTGTTTGGAACTTTATAACTTTGAAATCAGGATTTGAAAAAAAGAAGTTGTTTGCTGGTTTGTCGTCTTGTATTTGGATATATTTTAATTTTTTTTTGTATGTGAACACTTGGTCATTGTGATTGTTTTTGTGTTCCACCGAGACATCGAAAAAGTACAGGTCATTGACAAAAACTTACATGATCTATTTTGTATATTGTAAAAAAATGTTCCTTATACAGTATTATACTGCACGCCATATTTATAGCATTATATGAATTTACGTTCGGATTTTCTTTCTTGAACCGTACGAAGTCGTATTTTAAACCCAGTTGTAGTCTGAGTTTGGTTTATGCACTGTTTCTCAATCTCATCGTTAACTGCACAAGGTTCGCTGAAATTTGGGGTCGTCTTGCCCAGGAAGAGATCATGTTCTGGCATTCCTTCACAAAGTCTCTGGCAGCCCATCTCCATTTATGTCCTCAGCCGCTGTCAATAGGGCAGTGTCCAAAGTTAGCACACAACGTTGCGGAGCATTAATAACTCGACAGCGCTCTAGGTTCTACGTTAAACCTTATTTCTGCATCCCGCTGCAGCTAACCAACTACAAGGCTTGCTTTAAACGTCAGTTTGAAGTTCCGTTTTTTTCCCCGACCTTTTCAAAAATAATTCCTTCATTTCAACACCTGTTTAATTGATTTTTTAATGAGATGAAAGAGATTTAATATTTTATTTGTTTTTGCATCGGATTTGCTTAATTTGTTAGAGCATTGCTAACTGGGAATGTTGGTAATGACACTAAAAATGACCCATGAACGAACATTTTCAAGAAGGGCCGCTTTTAAGACGTTTGCTTCAGCTGTAAGGCACCCCTGTGCGAGTAACTAACTGTCCTGTTTGTAGTGGAGGCCTCCTGTCACGATGGTGGTGACGAGACAATGGAAACCATAGAGGCTGCCGAGGCACTGCTCCACATGGACTCCCCTGGTACCCTCCTGGACGAAAAACGCATTGGTGAGCCTTGGCCCTCTCTTCTCAAGCCACAGTAGCAGCTTTTTGTAAACGTATATACTTTTGGTTTACTTCGAGAAATGTGTTTTTCTAGTTCTTTGTTAGTGTGGATGAAGCCCAGTACTTTTTACGATGTTAAACCTTACCTTGTTATGTTTGGCCGAGAGATACACTGTACGTATCCATATTTGTATAGGCATTCATCTTGTTGAAAAAGAGGTTGCAGGGAATCTGAAAGTCAGGAAAATACAGAGGCTTATTGTTAAAGTTCTCCACAATATGTTGAAAGTTAGGGACCACAAAGGTGCAACATGTAGTGAAACCACTTATAACTGGGAATATTGTCCCATAGAATAATAGAATGTAAAATTGGTGGTTAGGGACTAAGAATGTAGACTTCAACTTTGCAACTTAATGTGGTACTTTTCTCCCATTAGAAAAAATGGATAATTGTAGGGATAGGGACTGGAAGAAAGGGTAAGGTGTTTAACTTGAAGCAACCTAGGATTATTAAAGTACGTGTACAGCACTATATTGTTTTGTTTATTATGTAGTGTTGTGTGTAACATTATATGCACTTTTAGAACAACGTCTGATTTAAAGGATCAAAAATAAAAATTTTACTTAAGAAACACTAAGAAAAGTAAGAAATTACTTAGTTTACAGTATTTGTGACATTTTGAATACATTTTTGTTCATGTATATTCCTTTTTTTAATAACCTAGCAATTCTTGATTCCACAAATTCCTTTTCCGTGCACAGGAGAGAATTATGAACAACATATTTACTGAAGCAGATTCTAATGGAGTCACACTCGTGCATAAGATGGAGCATTGTCATCACATTTCTCATTCAATGTCTGTCTCAGTGCACACAAGTTTATGATTTACAGCAACTTTTCCACATCAGGGATGTCGCCAGAACCAACCTTCTTGGCCAGCTTCACTATTTCACTTCATACATGCAGATAATTGTCATGTATTCTTTCCAGTGAGTTCAGAGAAACTTTTATAAAGGGGCAAATAATAACAGGGACCTCCTGTATTAAACATAGGGATGCCACAGAAGTGTTTTTTAGCTTTTCTCATTGATCTTTAGTATTTCTTGGACAAAATAAAGTTATTATCATGACTACAGATGTTTTTGAGAATTATAAAGATGTTTTGGGAAAAGTTAATTTGCTTAGTGGCTTCAGCAAGACCATAAGTGTAGAAGTCAATAAAACTCATGATCGGGGTAGCATTGGTACAGAGAAGAGTGTTTTTTTTTTAATGGTTTGCGTGTTTTAGGAGTGTAAGGGTCAGAAGTGACACTATTTTTACGTGATTGGAAATCAAATATTTAAAACACTTGTATTTACAAAATAGCTGAAGAACATGCAACATATAAAATCTTGCACCTTATGTATTTCATTTCAGTCGTTCATGATATTCAGTAGAATATTCAGTAGAATATTTGGTTCATTTTCATTTGCACAATACTAATAATTGTAGGAGCTGATATTGTCATTTAATGTAATAACAGAGGATTTGTTATTGTAAACTGCCCATACATTGAGGGTTGATTTACTCTTATTGTTAGTGCCTGTTTCAATTCTAGCCACAGGTAGATGTTGTCAGTCAGAAAGTAAGAAATCGGATCCGAAGGGTTGTTTTCCTAGCACATGAAGTTTGTCTTCCAGCGATGACGTGTTTTTCTGCCGTAGCTGGTCTCACAGGATGCTTGCTTCAGTGTATCTTTTATGGTGTTGTGAGTCATGCCCTGCCTTCTGAGAAACCTCCCGGACGAGGCTGCACAAAGTCAGCAGCCTCCCATCTGGAGATTGGGTCCCTGACTGTCGGTGTGGGGTTTGTTTTCCCAGCTCATGTGGTGGTGCCGTTGATGGGTGAGGTCATCGCTACTCCGGTTACTCGCGTATCGGTGACAGCTGATGGAATTCAGGGGGCAGCACAGCTTCCTCAGGGCCAGAGCAAGGGGACGGCAGCGAAGCTGGCGGAGCAGCCCAAGAAGAAGAAAGGTACAGTAGGTGGCACAGGCGGGGTGACCACCAAAAGGAAAGCTGAGAAAATTAGTCAAAAAAAATGAAAATAACTGTCTGAAACTGTACAGGGCTTATTTTTTCTTGTCTTTATTAGACTAAGAGACCCTAGAAAATGCTTATTTTAGAGTAAAAGTTTCTGAGTCCCTAGATAGAAAAGCAAATTCCATTCTGGATGTTTGTTAACTTAATTATTTTGGTGAGGGAATGGTTGTGGGTTCTGGGTACATTTTCATACAGAAAGACAGAAATAGTCCAGAAAAGTACAATCTTGAGAAAAGGCACCCAGAATACTTAATCTTCCTTGATGACTAAGTATATATGTAGTGCTACTTCCATATTGGAAATTGTCAGTAGTGTATTGTGTGTGTGAGTTTATGGATTATTTTTTATATGTTTTGCCACTCTAGACAATACAATTTTAACACAAAACAACAGGAGTAAGTATTCCAGTTTGATTACTAATGATCTATATTCTGTGCTGTTTATATACTGTAGTTGGAATTGTCAGTAGTATTTTGTGTGCAGTAGTAGGCATTACAGGATGCATGCAATGAAATTGTTCAGTTTCCAGTATGATAGAAAAAACATGTGGTCTGCCTGTGGTTTCAGCATTCTAATGAGGGGGGATTCATTAGCTCCCTTTGTATGGAAGCGGTCAATGTCAAATTTTGAAAAGGAAATTTTGACAAAAGCCTCTCATAAGCAAGTACTTTGTCAACCATGACCTTATTCAACATCTTGACATTTGCGTTTTTCTTTTTATCATGCATCACGGAAAACAAGCAGGACTGTTATTGCATGTTGTAACTGGGAGCTGCTGCTTTTATTTCAGGAAGAAAACCTAAGCAGTCTAGACCCGAGTCCCCAACAACACCAAATATCCTAGTCAAGAGGAAAAGTAAGGATGGCAAAGGTAGGAGTCTGTTTTTGAAGCTGTGGTCCATCTGGTTCCAGAGCTTTGGGACTTTTCTAAGGGGTCTGTTGCATCGCACAACGTTTTCATACGGAAAAATGAAGGCAGCTAATGATTTTGTTTGCTTAGCTAAAAGAATCTGGGGTTTGTCAGCCACAATTACCAGTGAATTAAAAGCATCCATGTAAATTTCATGGATGCTTGGCTGCAACTAAAAAACATCATATTTAATAGCAATGGCCAGAACTGACACTATTTTTATGTGATAGGAAATTGAATGACAAATACTTTTATATTTCAAAATCAAGTTAAAGAACAAGCCACGTGTATAATCATGTATCTTCTGTATTTCATTTCAGTAATTCAAGTTATTCTGAGTTTAATGGTTATTGAACAAATGTACATTTTAGCTTTTTAGGGAGCCATTTAATAGAACACGGACTGTAAGTCGCCTCTGTTCTGTCTCTTCACAGGAAATACATTGTACCTGTGGGAGTTCTTGATGGCTCTGCTACAGGACAAATCCACGTGTCCAAAGTATATTAAATGGACACAAAGAGATAAGGGCATCTTTAAACTGGTGGATTCCAAAGCTGTCTCTAGATTGTGGGGAAAACATAAAAATAAGCCAGACATGAATTACGAGACAATGGGCAGAGCTCTCAGGTAAGACCGCAATGTCGGATCTCCAGAGCAGTGCAGAGGTTAGAGGTCTTGAAATGATATAACACCTAGTTGTATTAGTGCTGCACTTCTAGGTTTGCATGCATTTATTTTATGGTTCTCTGAAATGAGGCTAAAAGGCTTGACTTTTAGACTTCTGCATCTCCTCTTTCTGTTATAAATATCACAGCACCTTGATTCTGTGGAGGAAAAAAAGATTATTTTTATATAAGTCTGTATTTTATATTTGTTCTTATGCCACATGTTTTGGACCTCCATATACTGTCCAATTTCAGAGTTATTTTACTACTGTCCTCTTCTGTGTTAAATAAATTTTCCTACAGTTCATGAGTGTAGTCAGTTAGTAGGGCAGGTCTGTTTTGGACTACTTTTGTGCAGTAAATCTTGAGAAGTGAAGAGAATTCTCATCCAGACTTTGTGGTGCTTTTCACAGATACTATTACCAGCGTGGGATATTGGCAAAAGTAGAAGGACAAAGACTGGTGTACCAATTTAAAGAGATGCCACAAAATCTTGTGTGCATTGATGAGGATGACGACATTTCACATGATCAATCAACTGACGTACCCGAAACAGATATCCCTTTTGACGATCCTACACTTTCCTTTACAAAATCGTCCGTCAGTAAAAATCCCAGAACAAAGCACAGAGCTAAAGGCACAACAGTAATATCAGGCAGCAGAGCAGAAGGCATATCAAAGCCCACCGTAGTTATGAAATCTGGAGACTTCTCCAGCTCTTCAAAAATGGTCAAGCCCTTGGGACTTATACAGCAGCATCATTTGCCAATAGTGTCTGCTGAAATGTTGAGAACTTTGCAAAACATCCAAGCACTGCAACCAGGGCAGCATGGCTCAGTGTTTCGGACAGTCCAGCTGCTGGAGAATCTGCAGAACGTTCAGGAGGGAAAGATCACTGTTGGCGGCCTTCCGAAAATAGAAGAACCACAAGCACGAGGCCAGACGGCGAGGTATGCGTGCTTTTATTTGAATTGGGGGTTTTATTTAATGTAGTTGACTCATTGTAATCAAAGTTGTAGTTTTCATGTCAGAAAGAGGAGGGAGGGATCCTAAATTCTTGCTTCCTAGCAGTGCCAGCAATACCACCAGCTATATCACCCTGCAGCTCACAACTGACAACCATCTGAACCTATGCAGGTGTGAGCCTGGTCAGTACCTGCATGAGAGACCCCCTGGGAAAAAAACAAGTTTGCTGCGTGAAGTGGTGTTAGTGGGGCATAAAACCAAGGTCCTGACTCTCTGGGGTCATTAAAATCCCAGAGTGTTTCTCAAAAAGAGTAGGGATGTAACCCCAGCGTCCTGGCCAAATGTCCCATTGGCTTTTACCAATCTTGGCCTCCTAATAATCCCCATCTATGGATTGGCTTCATCACTCTGTTCTCCTCCCCTCTGAGAGCTGATGTGTAATGAGCGTACTGCTGTCGCATCATCCAGATGGGGCTACACACTGGTGGTGGTGGAGGGGAGTCCCCATTACCTGTAAAGCGCTTTGAGTGGAGTGTCCAGAAAAGCGCTATATACTGTATATAGTGCCATATATATTATAATTCCTTCTCTCTGGGCTTTCAGTTTTCCTTACTACAGTACCTGATAAAAAAACACAGTATTTCTTCTGTCTTGATACTGCCACTTCTTTATTGGTACAACTAAAAAGCTGAATTCTTAAACTGTTTCTGTTTTGGCTGGTCTTCCTGCTTTCCTGAAATCTCAGGTGTGTAGTTCTTGAGATCAACATGAGGACTGCAAGTGTTGTTGAAACTGTAGTAAAGCACAATACATTCTGATGACCAGAGAAGACACTCCTGGCATCAACAATTTGCGTGCATTCGCCTGGACTTTACTTAATAAAATTCACTGCAAAGTATCTTTTAGAAAATTTGGGTTACAGCCATTTTTACCACCAAGTTGTTTTGAAATTATTTACAACTTTTTATGCTGCTCAAGCTGCAGAGAACCTCCAGAAAAAGGATGGTATTGTACACTTTGCAGGCACTGATACGGATTCTGATACTGTTCTCTGATCCACTGTCCTAGTGAAAATACCTAACACCCTGCTGCCTTTCTCTGCATAAGTGGACGTTAAATGAGCAAGGCTCAAGTAAACGTTAACTTTTTTTCATCTCAGAAGATTGTAAGTTGTTTTGAATATTTTACTTCAGTATGACCTTTGGGAATATTCTATTTTGGGTAGATCAGAATGAGTACTGAGCTGACTCATCTAACTCATTGTGTGAGGGAAAGTCAATTGTATATTTTTAGTACTACCATCACCAGATTGTTTTTTGTTTTGTTTTGCATGTGGCTTTTATATATTGACATCGACAGGTTAAAGCAGTTTCGTTTCCAAAGGCACCTCAAAAGAAAGACCGTTATCACACACATACACTGCAAACCGAGTTTTTATAAGTGCATTTTATAAGTGCATTTTCTTTTTTTTTTTATTCAGCAGCACAAACAACGAGACTCAGTTTCCGGTATTTATTGCTCCAGGAAACCAGCAACTTCACACGGTGACCTTACAGCCAGTGTCTCTGGCCACAGTCCTGGGCAGTAAGGACACCTCAGTAACCTTGGCTTCATCACCCAAGTTCTTTCTTCAGACTGTGCCCTCTTCCCAGCCAATGGCAGTGCTCATGGAAAATGTTGCAGTGACTTCTCCAAAAACGACATCGCCTTCTTCCGTATTGGCTGACGGCAGTATCTCCAATCAACAAGACGTTGCTGCCCATTTGCAAGGAGATAACGAGACGATTCCCTTGCCTTCCTCTCCAACAGTGGGTTCTGCAACATCTGTAGTGACGTTTGCAAGTGGTGGTCAGCAGCTTGTGTCTCATCCTCCTGGGACAGTTATTGCTTCTGTCATCACAGCACCAGACACCAAGCAGAGTGTTTCTCAGAGACAGGAGACTCCGAACACTTCACCGGAAAGACTCGAGCAGGCAGAGATCCAACTGGATCAACACTTCAGGGTGGTGGTGGTGAATGATGGTTGGGTGGAATCAGAGGCAAGAAGCCATGACACTGAATGTGATTCTGGTTGAAGTCCGATGTTCTGTCGTTTAAAGTACTTTAAAGTAGAGAACTCAAAGAGATGCTGTTTGATTTTTCTACTGCTTTCAGCACTTACGATCACTAAAATACTTTTTGGCACTTGGGTATTCTGTGTGACAACACGCATTGAGTTGCAGAACTGTCTAGGGTTTTTACAGGTGTGAGTTTCAAAAGTATAATGCCTTTCTCAAATATAATCTGTTAAACAAACTAGAAAAAAATGAAATAACAAATGCTTCATTGTTGTGTGTTGGTATTCTTTAAGGCTTGTTCAGTTATCTAACCAGTTGTAAATTTGGATGCAAACCTGTTTAAAACCTTTTGGTTTGATTTTACTACTGCTTTAGTTTTTTTTAATAGATTTTGCCTCTTTGAAATCTAGGCAAAGTACCATCCAAACATTTTTTTCCTCTTTTTGTGAAAGAAAAGTACCCAATCTTATCGATTCAAATAAAGCCTTCAAAATTTTTGTACATTTCAAATATTTTTGAAAATTCACAAAATTATCAAATCTACAAATTTAAGAAGTGTACATAATTATAAATTCCTCTAATTTATATTTATAAAATTACTGTTGCCTTTTGTGTAACTTTTTTAATGCAATGCTTAAATTCATCTTATTTTATTAAACTAATATTTTGACAATTGAAATTCTAAAAGCCTTTTGCAGTTAGAATATTATACTCTTTAAAAATGTAAATATTGTACAGGACATTTGACTTGATATAGTTTTACTTGTTGTGCATTCTAATTTTTATATACAACAGTTCTTGTTAAACTGAAATAATTCTAAACATCAGAGTGGATTTGTATTTATTAAATACATTTTTAATTTTGAAAAATTGTGTTTTGTACCTGTGAAAACTATTATATGTGAGTTTGAGATGTGCTCTTCATGCTTAATCTTCATGCTATTTTTTTTCCCTTTTTAATAGTCTTGAAGTGTTTGTCCTTAGGATTTACTTTATAAAATGTAAATATAGAAACATTAGTACATTTTTAATATTTAATTTTGCTCTTGGTTACTAACAGTTTAACTACAGTATATAATGAAGTATTCTGCAAAAAGGCTACTGAAAACCCAAGAGGTTTTTAAGTTTTAAAGTTTAGATATAAATTTGAGCATTGAGTATACTACTTCTCTTTGAGCTGCTGCAGTTGTTTTTGACAAATATAAAAAACTTGACAAATACTATTGGAATGACAATTCGACCAATGTCATATGATCAAATGCAATGAAAACTGACCTTTTTTAGACATTTCTATCACAGTTATAATTGGTTTAAAAAAGATGAAGCTCATATTGAGAAAAGTCTTGTGCCAACTGAAATATTGTGGGGTATGTGTAATGTTTTGTGTTTGTGTTGCTTGGTCCTGGAGCCCTTGTCAAGATAAGGGAAATTATGAACTCCAGTAAGTACCAAAACATTTTGGCCAGACTCTGGTTCATTCTGCAAAAGACGATCAAGGTTTGCTGAATGCAATCATTTCAGCATACATTTATATCCAAATCGGATGAAAAAAGAATGGTTAACCGCAACTCAATCTAATTGAGCATTTCAATTGAAGATCACAGTTCACTAACAAAAGTGGAAGGGTCTGGAGGATTCAAGGAATGTCTACATCAAATAATATTCATAAATATCTCAATCTCAATATCTCAATACCTTTTTTCACACTGCAGGTTGTGTCCAGTCAGGGTAAAACCTGCCAGAACAAGATTTATCACAGGGGTGTAAATGTAACCCTTGTCTTTTCTGGACTTTAATTATGACAAATATAACTTTGCTCTTTGCAGTTCTATTGAAAAGTATGCAACTAATAATATTTTTAGAATTTTAAAGCAAGAAGGGTTATTCAGTCTGTAGGTCTTTCTGTTATTATCTATTGTTTCTCTTAAAAATTGAAAGGCAGTGTATTTGTCATCAGCTGGGGGTCTTCCATACAAGTTACTGGCTTGCACTGTGTGTGGCCACTGTAGGAACCAATGTGTGCTGTACATCTGTACATAAATGCTGAACATACATTGTGTTTTGCAGCTTTTTGCAGTGTTGTTGGATTGTGTCCCATTCCTCTTGTTCACCCAGGACAATCTTCAATACTGTTAATGGTCATTCATTGTCAGGTGTGGTCATTTTTAACATAATTGGTTTCATTCTACACATCACAGTCCAAAAGTCCATTTTTTTATACTAAAAAATAATGCAGATACTGTTAATAAGGATGATCTTTTTTATTAGTTTTAAACAAAATAACTAAATTTCAGTGGAAGAAGGGAACAGAATATTTCTTGCATAAAGAACGAAATAACCATCCATCCATTTTCTAACCTCTGAATCCAGTGGATTGCATCCTGGACAGGATGCAAGAACATCACGGAGCACACAGAGACACACACACACACATGTATCAGCGATGAGTTTCCCCAGGCGCCAGTTCACTTACAAGCAGGTCTGTGGACTGTGTCACTGGCCACAGTCCTGGGCGGTAAGGACACCTCCGTAACCTTGGCTTCATCACCCAAGTTCTTCCTTCAGACTGTGCCCTCCTCCCAGCCAATGCCGGCGCATCATGGAGCACGCAGAGACACACACGTATCAGCAGGGTTTCCCCAGACGCCAGTTCACTTACAAGCACGTCTGTGGACTGTGGAAGAAAACCACACAAATGCAAGGAGAACATAAAGACTCCACACAGACCGCACCCTAGGTTTGGACTGAACTCAGGGCCCCAGCGCTGCACGGCAGTAATGCTGACCACTGAGTGAAAAGATTAAACCAGGTTTGCACAACTTCAAACGCTTCAGTAACCAAGGACAGATTTCCTCGAGCTAATGGATTCCAGAATTTTGGAAAGCAGATGTTCAACAAATCAATGGGTCAACGAACCCCATGAACGGTATTATTCTCAAAGGCTTCGAATTTGCTAGAAAGAAGCTCTGTCCTAGTGTCAACTCGTCTCTTCCTCTTACGAGGGTGATTCCTCCCTCCCTTCTTATTCCTTCCTTTTTTTGTGCTCTCTGTCATGCTGCAATTATCCTCTTTGAGGCTCACTTCCTATGTACAGTGTATCGTGTCGTCATGTGAAGACTGTCTTACTGTCCTCCTTAAGAATGGTCCAGTTACTTTTAAATATTAACAATCACTGTTAAATAGTAATGATCTAATATTTTTGACTTAATGATTTAACAGTCTAGTTTTGGCCTAAGTTAACAATACCACACTTTTAATCATTTCAATATTGGATCATTGTTGACTGCCTCTAGGATCTACTGTAGGAGAGCTACAAATATGCTCAGGACAATCCCTATTGTATTGAACGTTCAGATCAGGGTAATTCTGCTGGGAAGAACAAATGTCCAGTTAACCATCAAACATGCAACAGCGCACTAATCAGAGCACCTCTTACCCATTCCTTACAGTATATACACCTCATTTGTCCATGTAATGTCAATTGATAGGCTACAAACCAGCGCAAAGGCAAGGGTGAAAAAAGTTAGGCACCAAAAATATACTTTCTATTTATTGCTTTGGTCAGAACAGACTTGTCTCTCATCAGTACTTCGTGGTTCAAGAATCAGAATGAAGCATTGCACTAATAAAACAATTCCCAATTTTTTCTTTATACTCCTCTGCCCTTGCATTCTGCTTTTAAAATGTACTTTTACTGGGTTTAGGAAAAACAACAAAAAACGAATCTAAAATCTTAACCTTACTTACAGTCTGCACATTCATGATAATGTGCAAGAATGTGTTTTTTGGCAGACTGCCGGTGCACCTATACACTGACAATATCTTGTATATTTTGAAATAGGTGATGTCTGTTTACCAATGCAGATCAATAATGCATTCCAATTATTTTTTAGTTCTTAATTCTTCTAGATATTTTTTTCTTGAAAAACATTTGACTTTAGCACAGACTATTAATTTTAGAAAAATAAAACCGGCAAAATATAGATTCTTGATCTAAAAAATGTGTTGGTTCAGAGCTGTGCGTGTTATGGAATGATTTTTTAAATTACAAACATGCATTACATCGTTTTTTTTTCAAAGTTCTACAGAAGAAATGTGAGGTCTTTGCAGAATCTTTTGCAGTACCTTGATCGATTCTGCCATCTAGTGAAATATTTGCAGAATACATAAAATGTACACGTCAATTACACCTGTTTTTTTTTTCATACGCTGGTTTCTGGAATTATACGCAGTACAAACTTGTAGGCGTTTCAGAAAGCAAAAGTATATCTGGCGCCAAGAAGGCGAAGCATTTACAAGTTCCCTCTGGATGCATTTGGAAAACTGTCCCTGGTGTGTGTGTTTTTGTCTGACTTGGGATGGACTGGCACCTTTCCTAAAGTAGAAAATAGATGGGTGGAGACATTTTTATTCTTTGTCCATAGGTACTGTAGCGCCCTCGCTGGCTTTGCGGCCGAAGAGCGCCCGGCTGGGTGCGCGGCGAGGGGCAGGACGGGAGTAGTGGTGGCCAGGGCGGGAACTAGGAGAGCGGCCAGGGCGGCTGACCAATGGCGGAACCGGTGTAAAAGGTCGCGAGATCGCCCGGACTCATGTAAATAGTTTCCCTGGTTTTGCATCTCATGTACCCAATTACCACCCTATCCCACTGTATCTGTACCCTAGTGTGTTGTAGCTTGTTGTCGATGACACTTGGGCTTGCTGTGCTGGATGCACGTCCGACTAATTAAAAGCGTCGTATTTTCAGTTAACAAAAGCCTGATCCCCTGTCTCTATCCCCGCGGAACCTGTCGCGCTACAATATTTTGTTTCTGTAGAAGTATGAAAATGATTTAGTAGATACCATAGAATGTTACCATATCTTATGGTTCTATTGCAATGTACGGAAAACAGCTTACTAGCTGCGTTAAGTGGTTAGCGCACAAGTACGTACTAAATCGGTAACTTATTTTTAATGAACTCTGTATTACCTTTTCCAAATAAAAATTGAATTCCAGCAAAGCATGGGAATCATGTCTCAGTTGCATGTTGCTACTGAAGTGGATGTGTATATAACGTCTTTAATCTGATCCTTATATATGAAAAAATCAAAATCTCTACAGGTCCAGAAAACGCACATATGCGCCCCAAAGGTATCTTCATTTGCAAGGTTTTTTTTCCCAGAATACAACTGGAGCTATTCTGACGAAATCATCTTGCTCGTAACACAGTGGGCTGAAACGTCAAGAAAGTAATGCTAATCTGTAACGCTAATTAGTCTGTAACGACTGCTTTTAAACTTGCACATTTTAAAAGACTTCTGGCTGCTTCTAGAAACTTCCCATTTAACCTTAGATCCTTGAATTCAGTCGCGTTAGTACTACGGAGACACCAGGTGGCAGGACAATATAGTGCGTTGCATCCTTCTGCAACTGTGTCTTAGATGTGTCCCTTTTTTTCATTAATACAGCGGTAGGTTGCATTCTCCCGGCGCAGATTTCCGCAGTCCTGCACAGCTCTGCGTTCTTCCAGGGCTGCGGACGGATTTCACCACAGGTCCGTGCAGATCCTACGCGGCACAGCGCAGTTTTGCAAACCAGCTCTGTGAGAGACCCGCAGCCACTGTAAACCAATGGGGTGACGCCGAGGACCAAAATGTTTTTGCTGTTCAATTATTTCAGTATTTTCTCACTCTTACTGTTGTTATTCACTGGTTTGCCTATGGCATCTACAAGCACATAAATTGCTTTCGTTAAAATAATATACATTTACTGTATTTTACCGGTTGTCATTTTCCTCCCTGCGGCGTATTACGGTTTTTAGCATAGATACCAACACAAACTAGATGTGCCCTTCAATCTGGCAGTTAGGTTCAATACAGCCGCCATCTTACGATGGTCAAACCAGGCGGCTCCTCAATGTCAGCTTTGAAAATACTGCAAGAGTGCGGAGTATACGGCTGTAGTTTTGGGGGGCAAGTAAACTGACAAAGCACAGGGGGTAACTACATTATTGAATAATCTGTACTCTGTAATTAAATCTCAAAGTGATAGATCTCGTTTAGCTTGCAGTGATAGGCTCCGGTTACCCCCGCGACCCCGTCTTGCATAAAACGGTCAGAAAATGGGTGGATAAATATATTTTTGCCCAACACGTTAGTTATACGATAATTATTAGTTTCGTTTTTGGGTCCAGCAAACTCTATTACGTTTTGCTGGCTCTACAGCCGTATTCCTCATTACACTCTTAGCAATACGAAGCAGGTGTCAACATAAAGAACAATTATATTTAGCTGTTTACTGTTACAGATTCTTTAATTTACAGTTTCCAGTAACGAGAAACCCGCATATTCCCGCTAAGAGTTGCCTCAACTCAGACCCTATCCGGAAAACAGGGTACAAAATCAACGTACGGAAGCACTCGTTTTTTTTCAACATTATTTTAAACCGATTGGCATCTTAATAGTTTTATGGATTGTTTTTGAACTTTACTCGTGTTTAGCAAATTCAATCTCATTTACTTAACGTCCAATTATACTATTGTGTCATAACATTCTGAACATATTAAGTGTGACCATGCATGTAATACCCTAGTTGAGCATGACTGTTATATAATGTGTACGTATGCCATTATCATTCGTATTCGCGGTATCGATTGTTCTGTTTTGTCAGTCACAATACCACTAGCCCACACAGAATTTTGAAACTTTTGTCTCTTAGAAACAGTAGCACATCTAGAGCCTTACTGTCCTAGTTACTAGTTTAATTAAAAGACAAATATTCATGTTAACTGTTTACATTGTAAAAAAAGGCACATGCCCACCTACTGACCTTTCTGGGCAGCAACGAACTAGTTGCAGTTCGTTATAGTTTGGCCATACTATTGCATTATGGGATACCTATAGTTTTTGAGGAAAAGCGATTTCTTGCGTCGCTCTGTGTGACGTCACACAGATCGCGGGGTGGATATCTATGGTTGTTTTCACGTCTTTTTCCATCTGAGCAGCCCAGCAGCCCCATCCAGAACGTTCTGGACGTCACTTCGGGCAGGACTTCATGGCAGACGAAAGGCAAGTGCAGTGTACATATTTCACTACAACATTCAGTTAAATTAGCCGAGTAACGAGTAGGTTGAGAGGAGCCGATTTTCTCGTTAACTGGTGTTTCTGTGTTGCAGGAGCTTCCCTGACAGCCTCATTGACGAGGATCCTCAGAAAGCTCTAGAGGTAAATAGCGTCCCTGGGTTGCTGTGCCTGTTTCCTTCCGTGGTCTTTCTCTTAGGTACTCAATTCGATTCTTTACGGTATTATTTTATACAGTCGGAATAAGCGTAGCCAATTTACTATCCATTTAGTAATAGATTTGGGCCTTTCTGTGTCAAAATGGTACTTCTAAACAGTTGTCTGCCCAACGATTTTCTCCGTAATGTTTTCACTTTTCCGCATATAGCTAAACTTTTTTTTCTTTGTAACATTACTCAATGTCCCAGAAAACGTGTAAACCTACATCCGTTTTAAATTGTCGTATTGATTCCTTTGGATTCGTTACATGACATTCCAGATCATCCTATCTTGCTAGATTCAGTTCAGTTCAAGATGTCAATGTAGTATTTAAGCGTGCTCCTCAAACCGTCCAGTCACTTGATATCTCCTTGTCCCCCAGCCAGTACAACCGGTCTGAATAAATAGTGCTTATTGGGCACATTGGAGTCAATTTAATCTGAAAACCTCTGTGGGCTATGTACTTTACATTGGCATTGGAAATATTTTAATATTGTATACTACATACATGTGTATATATAAATGTGTGGATAAAAAAAAAAGTTACAGTAGGAGAGTTAAGATACCAAAGGGAAAACGTTATGAGCCTTTCGTGATGATTTCCAAGTGGAATTTAAAATCATTGCCCTCTCCTTCAGTTTGTATCGGGAAAGACCCATAAATTTGAACTGAAGGTTCCATTAATTTAATTTGGATCTGTGATGGGTTTGAGCATTTTGCTGGATATTGGAATGAGAACTTTTTTAAACCAACCATTTTTGTGTGCTAGAATGTCTATAAATAATGTGCATTGGCACTTTGACAACTCGTTAAATCATATGCTACTACCATACCTTGGTCCTGTATTTTCTAAATACTCTCAGACATTTGCCTTTTTCTGTATGAAACACATTGTTCACCACATGTAGGTCAGTGATAGCTCTTTCAGGTTTCGCACTCATCCTTGTAGCTAATAATGGTGATTTAATCATCTTCTTCCAACATGCATTAACCTTCAGATAATTAAAAAAAGGTGTCAGAAATTCGTTAACTACAGAGTTTATTTTTGTTCTACACGTTCAGGGTCACAGATAATGGGAAAAGAGCCTCCTGACGATAGAAATGATAGACTTTAGCAATGCGTTTTATTTCTTTTTGTTCTGTTCATAGTTTGCATGTAATAGTAATGGGGACTCCCCTCCACCACCACCAATGTGCAGCATCCACCTGGATGATGCGACAGCAGCCACAGTGCGCCAGAACACTCACCACACATCAGCTATCAGTGGGGAGGAGAGCAGAGTAATGTAGTCAATTCATAGATGGGGATTATTAGGAAGCCATGATTGGTAAGGGCCAATAGGAACTTTGGCCAGGGCGCTGGGGTAACTTATCAGTAACTTATCATACATATACAGCCATAAAGGAAGTATTATTAATCAAATTCTGTTGATACATCTGCACTATACACATCTAAATAAGTGCACATTTCTCCAAACAAAGTCAGCCCTCTTTCCTGTTATTAGTTTATTAATAGGTTGTGTATACATCCCTGATTTCTTGTAAAAAAAAAAGTTATGAGATGTAAATGGCATGATAAGGTCAGCTGATTTTTTTTCACATCCACAAACTTGGACGTTAGATGTGAAATCTGTTTGCACCTGTTCTCCGCTGGGTCTCCAGTCTGTTGCGCTGATGTTTTTCTGTTTTGCTTGAGTTACTGAATACTTGCAACTGTACCAATTCAGAAACTTTTTCCCCTCTTATGTTAGATGAGTTTTAAAATATAGCGTTGTACCTAGGTTGTGGTTAAGCCTTAATTACCCCCACAATAAATTATATTGCATTTTACTGTAAATATCCATGTGTACTTTGTTGACATTTTTCTTACATTTTCTAATATACTGTACATACCTTAAGAAATGTCCTATGCTGAAAAACTGAAGGAATTAACCCTTTTCAGTCTTGAACTGAAAAGATTATGCGGGTACCCGATAATATGAACCAGGGGACACAAATGGAAACTATGTGGAAGTGCTTTTGGTTTCAAGAACAAGAGGCAAATCTTTACCCAAAGAGCTGTGGGAGTGTGGAACAAGCTGCCCAGCCATGTCGATGATGCCCATACTCTGGCTTGTTTGGGAAATGGATGAGTAGATTGAATCGTTGGATCCAGTTAGCTGCTTACTACTAAATAGACTAGATGGGCAAAATGGGCCTATTCCTGTTTGTAATCTTTTATTTTCATATTTTCAGTGACTAGTTTTTGTTTTTAAGTCACGTGTGAAAATTCACAATTGTTCTGAGGCTGATCTTGTTGCCTATAAGCTTTCTGAGCACCAGTCTTACTCAGTCAGTTGTCCTGTATGGCTTGGGGTGTCCTGCTCATACTAATTTTAATAACATAGCACAGACACAAATCTAGGGTTTCTGATTAACTTGCGCTTCTATTCAGTACTTTTACCAGTTGAGCCTTTTGGAAGCATCTGAGGTTAAGCTCTGCATATGTTTTTGTATGTCTCGGCACATTCATTTGTATTTTCTTCCAGGAGCTGAATGGGGTATTGGAACGAACATCAGATAATGCAGAATGGTACTGTCAGAGATCCTACACCCACCTTCTGCTACAAAATTACAGCAGTAAGTAAATCTACTACATCCAAGTCCTCAATATTTGTCAGTAATGGTGCCTGTCACCTAGTAGTGATTTGTCAACTAGTGGTGGTGTTAAGATGTGGGCATGTGTTGAAACCACTTGTGTGCTTTGACCAAAGATGCAACAAGAAATGTAAGTTATTCAGAAGAGGATGCATGCTGTGGCAAAAGTGGGAGGTAAAAATGTTTACCACACTGGTATCTTATTGTGTCCGTATTGTAACATTCCACTGTAAGAATAATTCTGTATGGAATTTGTGGGTGTATTAACATTTTGAATTTGTGCCATAAAATCTTTTCTATATCTTACTGTTTGTAGGTGCTCTTGAAGATGCAAAGAAGGCTCTTGACCTGAAGCCAAACCTTGCCCTAGCCTATCTCAGAGCAGGGTACGTGGAAACATTTTGTGTGTTGGTACTTCAGATGTTCCTTGTATTAGATGCTTTATAAATTAATTCTACTGAAAACCACAAAATGCTAAAGATGAGACACTGAATCTTGTGTGATTCTTTATAATATGCACTTTATTTTAGGCCAGTTGTAAACCACAAATACATAGCTGAATGTCTTTAGGATCTTCAATGGGGACCAAAAAATTTTGATTTTACAAGTGGAACTATTCCCATAAGAAATAATGGAAATAAGGGTTACTGGAGACCAGGAGGACATAAATATTCCCCAGAGGACATTGAGTGTGACATTTTTCCCATAAGGGACCATGACATGATGACATAATTCTAGAGTAGTGTACATTCACATTTTTTGTGAATACATTTTTGTGGTTTGTGAGCAACAGCGTACGATACTGAGATCAAGCAGTATTAGGTGCATGATGCTGCACAGGCTGAAAGTGGCATCATGTTTTGTGTATGTACAGCACACACAAAAATGAAAGCAACATCCAACTTTTATATACAGCAAAATAATACATACATTTACATTAAATGTTGCAGATGTGTTAAATAAGGACATCTAATACTGTAAAATTACTTTAATCATCTAGTAACTCTGTCTATATTTTAACTTATCTAGCAACATAGTGTGCTTGTGCTTCTCGCTGTTTCTTTGACTTCTTTGTTAGGGCACATTGCCTTCAGGGGACGTAAAGTCGAGACATAAAAAAGGTAAAATTACATAAAAATCTCAGCCAGAATACAGTAATGTATAAAAATCATTATAGATATAAAATACAAAACAATTTAGATTTTACTAGAAATTGGCCATTTTGTACACTCTGGACTTTATGGAGCAGTTTAAGTCCTTTGGACATGAAGTCGGGGAATGTTTATGCCCATGGTTACAGAAACTCAATAGTGGAAAAAGTAGGGAGACATTAAATGGGGATCTTCCTGTATTAACAGTGGCCTGGACGGTGTGGTTTTTTAGGGACTTGGATCAGTTCAGAAATAAAAATATCCAGGCGTTATGTTAATATTTTCTGCTTCGTTCTTCTTTTTCTCTTCTTATCTGATGAGAGGTGTTCCATTAGTTACTGTATATGTGATTGTTCCAACAAGAAAAATGATGAACACATATCCCAAAGCAGAGCTAAGATGCTTTGTCCATCTCTATGGTTTTGCTTTAATAAGTGTTTTGAAACAATAGTAACCACATAATATGCAGGAAACAGTTTAAGAGGAAATATCAGAAAATTGTATAAAAATGTCAACTGAGAAACAATATACCTGGGTAAAGAATATAATCTATTTTGAACTGGAATTGTAACTATGTATTAGTACCTTACACACATTTGGTTTGGAAAACTTTAGGCAGTTTTACACAATGCCTAAGCTACAGGTTTGCTATATATTTTCTTGTTTTATTTTATAGAGCTGCAGAGTACCATTTAAAAAACTACGAATCTTCATATGAGGCATTCAAATCAGGACAGAAGTTAGATGGTGAGTATTTCAGTTTTATATTAAACAGCAGGTTAGTTTTATGTGCTTATGGTTTTGTGACTTTCTATGTCTTTGCACACATTACCACAGAATCTGACAGCACCTTTGGGATTTGGATTAAAAGATGTGAAGAAAACATGGATTGTAAGTAACATCTGATTAAATTTAGTTTTAAGTTTATTTTCTAGGCTGTTTTATAAATCTCAAGAATAGTTAAAATTTAGTCATTTAGTATATGATTAAGCTTCTGAAAGTTTGTGCAGTTATTTGTTGAATGGCTGTCATACATAAGTATTCATTAAAGAGCACATGGACAATATGCCTCAGGCTGATGAAGTACCCTGGTTTTTTTTTAAATCTTAACAACATGGGATATGAGTTACAAAGCCTGATAGAATGTTTTATCTATAAATACATGCATATTGGTTTATTAAACTTTAGTAGCAGGTGTAAAATTAGTAATTATATTTGGTGTTGTTGATGGGTATAATTCGTAGTATTTTGGTCACTGTGATGTGTGGGTGTATTATCCAGCAGAAGTAGTATAAATATTAAAAATATTGGTAGCTGAAATCTTAAAGTTTCTACTTCTGGGTTGATAAAGTTTCAATCATTGTTTAACTCAGTTAATGGCAAAATTCATGATCACCAACTTATTTTGTTACTTGCAGTGAATAAACAGAATGGATCATCCAACACGGTACGTTGTTTTATCTCATTGTGGAAGATGATACTGATATCACGGCTTCAGGGACTTTCACATGTAAACCACTTCAGACATGCAAGGAAAGGCTTTATACCCAGTAGTTTTACAGAACAAATCAAAACATGTCTGACATAAGAAACCCAACCAAAGCTTCAGAGAAGGTAGCTACCACCACTTTTCAACCTGCTCCTATTTCTATACTTACTCTGGACTACTGAGTACCCAGTGCTCAACACATGCCAATCTGCACTAACAGGTTCAATCAGTTATACAGTTTCTGTAGATGTCAATAACACTACAGTTAAATGTTTTTGAGTAAAATTTGTGCCAGAGAATTCTTAAGATTTATTTTGCAGACCCATTAAGCCTTGAAGGTTTAGAACTCAAGATGGAGATCTAATGTTGTATAATAGGTGATTAAAAGAGGGAAGGTATACTGTTTCTTTGCCAACAGACGTTGGTTGTAATCTGCATGGATGTTCGAGGGGAACTGGTCTGCACTGCATTTTGTCAAGACCCTGCTGCTGCATGAAAATCTGGTTTAGAGTAAATTGCTTGATATCACTTTTACTATGCAAATACAATTTGAATTAGGATTAATCAAATTTAATGTTCGTGTTTTGTGGCAGTATGAGCAAAAGGTTGAATAATAGTAGTAACTTCTCAGTGCGTTTTACAGAAAAGTAAAGAAAAATGAAAACGGCAACAAGGATACGTGTTAATATTGGCACAAAGAAACAGATTGGTTTATAATGTGATAGCAGATGCAAAAGGGCAGACATAAATTAAATAAGAGCCTTTATAAAGAAGATGGTTTTGGGTCTGCCTTTGAAGGCGTTGAGGGAAGGTGACTATTTGATATCATTGGGTGTAGAATTCCAGAGCTCTGGGCCATAGCAAGAGATGTCTTTGTCACCCTTAGAACGTAGATCTTGGGGGACAGACAGGAGACCAGAGTCAAACAAAGGCTTCAAGGTAGAGAGTAGGAAAATGAGTTGGATAAATATTGGGGTGCCAAGCCATATAGAGCCTCACAGGTGAGCATGAGGATTTTGAAGTCAACACAAAACCTGATAGGAAGCCAAGGACTCCAGGACAGAAGAATTGTGATCCTTTGTATGTATTCTGGATGCTGAGTTTTGGACATACAGTACTGAAGTTAGTTAAGAATGGATTTAGATACACCAGCGAGTAGGTTGTTGCAGTAATTGATTCTAGAAAAGACAAATGTGTTGACCAGCTTTTCAGCAACAGTCAGAGACGACATAAGACATAATCCAACGATATTTCTGAGATGGAAGAATGTTGTAGTGGGAATTATATTTACATACAAACAAATACAGTGGAATTTCCGCATGTTTAGGTTGTAATACTGTAACCAGTAGGAGCCATATGTATATTTACCATTTATAATAAAGTGCAAAGAAGAATAGATTCTCTAAACAATTGTATTGTGTACTTATATAGCATATCTTTTAAAATAAAATGTAGAATTACTTGATTTTGGCATGCTTATGCTTTACTAGTAAATAAATTCTTCTAAATAAACTAAAAAAAAAAAGTGCTAGTGTCCCCTAATAAAAGAGGGGTGAATAAAAGTGAAGCAGGTGTTGAACAGTTTTAATTTATTTTTCAGATTTGTTATGAGTTCTTCTTTAAGATTTTACTTAAAGATCACAGAGGTTTTTTTGCAACCTCGGCAAATGAAATCTTTGGCATTGCTTTGTAGAAACATACGACTAGATTTTGTGTATTAGATCCGTTCTCATGTAACATAACATTTTTCAATCCTAGAAACACAGCTACTGTATATACTGTATGTTGCTGATGCAATAATCTGTGGTGCATGTTGAATGGATTTTGAAGGACATTGACTATAAAGGGGTTATGATATTAACCAAGGAGGCCTTTAATGTGATTGCTTTGTAATCCCAATTTTCAACAGAATCTGTTTAAAAAAGATTTTTTACCATTATAATCTCATTTCTCAACACAGTCAATTGGAAACTTTTGACAACTGCTTTGAGTATGCTAATAAAGTTTCTATGTTATGCTTCCATTTCATGGGAAACCGAGAGGAAAATTGATCTAAGTTTATAGAATCCTAATGGGTTTAGATTGGGTAAACCCAATGGGTTATTTTACATTCAGTGGTGAAAATAGGAAAAGATACTCTAAAATAAAAGAATTCATTTAGCACTTGAAATAAGAAACACTTATTCCAAGTCCACAAGAGTTTTGGGTATGTTTCCCAACTAGGTAACTAAGGTCCAAACTTTTCAATGTCTTTCAAGTAACAACTTGTTAAAATCAGTGATTCTTTTTGCTGCTCAGTTACCCAGAAAGCAAGAGGGTCTGAATGGCTTTCTCTTATTTGAAAACTGTTTTCTTTGAACTCCTGTGGCTTGTCAAAGGTTTAATCATTTAGGATTTAATCTATTTGGAGTGAAGAATTAGTTAAAGCTTAAAGTAAAGCTTCAAGGTTCATTTGGAAGCATGAAAAAGGGAAACTTAATTGGGGAAAATTGTGAACTAGTCTGTGTGGAATACTTCATTGCACCACAAGGTGGTGCTATTTCATTCCTTCAGTTGCTGAACACTATAGTTTCTCTACGCACTGCAGTATAAACACGCAATTAAACTTGATTAGATATCGCTGTGTTTCATATGCAGGAGAGCCTCGCTTAAATTCTTTCACATGCATAATTTAAAGTTGTTTTTTTTTTCTCTTCCCGTTTAACTGACCAATTCAAATGGATGTCCTACTTAAAACACAAGGCAGCGCAACCAAATGTGAAGTAAGTGAATTCTTATTGTCGTCCATTCTCACAATGAATGATTCTTAAACTCCTTTAGCAGTTGTTTCAATCCATGAAGAATTCTAGTTTTTGTCAATGCGTGAGCCCAGAAACATCTTCAGAGGCCCTGGTTATGGGTTTTCTTTGGTCTATGCAGTGATAAGCCATGATGAAGCAGTGGTCTACGAATGTGGCAGGTGAGTACCCAATCTAAGTGGTACCCCCCTGCCCCTCCAAGCCTCCTGCCAAAATGCAGTTCTGACAGCTGTAATGGATGTCCCACACGGGGGGAAAAAAAAATGTGGTTGCGTCAGCTGAGGTGCTCCCATCCTCGGCACCATGGCTCGAGCAGCAGAACACCCCGGATGAATTGTCCAGACAAGCCGGGGTCCCCTGGCGCCCGGGGAGGTGATGCGGAGCCTCCCAGTGCAGCACCAGCAGCAGTCAAACCAGCCAGGCCATCGGCTTCCGCTGCTGGGAGAGGTCAAGCTCGAGCTGAGACCTTCATTGAATCATTTCACAAAACGGCCTGCAACACGGAACCACATCTGGACAGGCCGAAACATGTACACAAGAGCCCCCAGCACCGGTGTACACAGGATACACAAAGACAAGCCTCATATGATAGGGGTCTACAGGGGAGCAAGTCTTCAGGGGTTTTTAGAAGCCATATTTATTTTGTTCCAGGAAATGTCTTCATTTTCTAGCATTCAGATCTCTTCTTCAAATACTGTGTGTTGTAGGTGTGCATGAAGGTTTTAACAAAAGAAGACGGTTGGGGGGCAGGCCTTTGTTTTGCCTGTGAAATGCTACTGTGTTTATGTGCAGAAATATGATATTATAAACGTTTTTACAACATTTGACATCTTCACCTGTCCACTGAACTGTAAAAGTTAACTGTCAATGTTTGTCCTTGATTAAAATCTGCTCAGTAGCAGATGGAGTGTTTTAGAGTTTTAAGTATGTTGTTTCCAAAGTACACAAGCAGTGACTTTAATAACTTTATTTTCTCATAGATACGATTGGTACCAGACAGAACCACAAGTTATCATCACCATCATGGTCAAGAATTCTAGGAAGGAAGATGTAAATATCCAGTTTGAAGAAAAGATGGTATGTGTTTTTTCAGTAAATGATCTTTTGATATGCTCTAATGCAATATGGTTTTGACACCCTGTGAAATTAATGGGAAACAAATGGCTATAAGATATGAAACATAACAAAAGTATTTTATGTGACTAGCAGATAAGCACATCATATTTAGTGACAGTTATTAAATCCTTGTACACTTTCATTATAACGTCTGCTAACATATCTGTATTGAAAGGCAAAAGATTAAAAAGAAGTGGAAAAATCTTTAAAAATTATAAAAATAACAGCTCCCAAAATCAAAGAACAAACCTGTGTTTGATCTGTTCTATAAATTAATTAAAAACTTCAGTTCTGTATAATAATTTGGTGCAAATTAGATGGAAATGAGATAAAATATTAATTTAGTTATCTGGGGAATCTGCCTGTAGGGCTTTCTAGTCTTCAGTCTGGCTCAAAATGCTGTCCATATGGCAATTATGTACAGTAGTATAAGAGAGCATTGGCCTGATGCCTATTGGCGTAGCAAATTCTTCCTGTGACACTCTTCTGTTAGGTTCTGATCTGAGATGTGGAGGATAATGAGGTTGTTGTAAATCTTAAGTGCAGAGCCTACCCCTGGGGCTGCCTCAGATCTTAAGAGTGTGGCCTCATTGTTACAGCTGCAGTGGAATGATAAGGTTATAAAAAAAAAAATGCATACTGTGATCTATGTCGATATGCGTTTATCTGCAAAAGAAAGTAGACTTCTGAGTCTCTTCTTTTGAGAACACCTGCAGATTCTGGAACTGTGCACAGCCTTGTTAAAATATTGAGTGGGGCACGCTTAGTAGTGCAGCACTTTGCCTTATGCAAGGCAGTAATTAATTGGCTTTGTGCAGATGAGATTGCTTTCCATTCCTATACAGACACAGGATTTTGTCTGTGAGGGGATTCTAGGTTTACTTTAACACCTTTGTAGGTAGGTAGGGATCAGCGAAGAATAGTCTATATAGTCTCTGTAGTTTAGTATTTAAACATTTGACAGGTCATTCCAATTAGGTTCTGGCCTGACTGATTATTCATCTTTGTGTTGCATTGGAGCCGTGAGCTGAAGTACTGTTTCAAAACTTTTACTGGTCTCTTTAGGCGGGCGATCTTCAGAGCAGATGGGCTGACATACCTTCTTGAGGATGTTGAGGGAGAAGTTAACATTCATTCCTGAGTCACCAGCTGTGACTTCCAGTGCCCGCATTCTAAACCAGTTGTACTTTCTTGTGGCTTGATGTTATGTGAATATCCATATGCTATATGGTAGGGGGTAACCCCTGACAGCGATGATAACTAGGCCTGAACAAAATGACAGATTGAAGGTCGAAAGCTAATTGTTCTTTCTGAAACACATTTCAGAAGACTGCCAATGTGTGGAAGTTAGACAGGTTTTCCTTTTTATTCTGCTCTTTTGCGCATTTTGCAACCAGAAAATGTCTGATGATCCCTTGGGGAAAGATGTAAACATTCTGCTGCTCCTGCAGCTGGTAACCAGTATGTGGTCTCCATACTTATCATTTGCACTTCATTTCCATTCTGTTGGTTTATAGTGTCCGGAGCCCAAATGAACACTGCTCTTTTGCCCTCTCTCATACTGGGCAGTGGCTTTAGCAGTGAAAGTGGAATATCTTGAGCTTTTGACATTTCCTGTGGGCTTCTGCAAGTGTTCTGTTGGCCATCTAGGGACTCAGTTTCTTCTTTGATTTTATTTCTAAACAGAACATTGACTCATTGCAGAAAGTGGCTTCCTTTAGTCTGGTTAAATCTTTGCAACTCTCTGTATAATTCTCTTAGGTCTTTGTATATGGTGTTCATAGCAATATCAAATAATTCTATGAAGTCTGTATTCCATTACTGAAGCCCTAACAAAATTTTAGCTGTAAGTGTATTGTAAAGATATAACAAAAATGTATTGTTACTGAAACACTAGCAAAATTGTCATTTTTTTTTCACAGGTCATACCTTTTCTGTAGTCAAAATTTCAGTGTTGTTAGTTACTAGAAATGTATTCTATCTGTTGTTTATTGCGATGGTCTGAGTACTTTAGAGAGACATAAAAGGAATATACATTTCTAAAGGATGTTATTTTTTGTGTCTTAAGTTACATGCAACTGTGAAGCTGCCACAGGGTGATGAATTCAATTTGAAGAAGCATCTTCTTCACTCAATAGTTCCCGAGCAAAGCACATTTAAAATTCTCTCATCAAAGGTAAGTTTCTATTCATTAGTCACTCATACTTCTGAGTGCGTGCATGAGCTGTTTGAAAACACTAATAGAAATTGGCATTTTGCAGGATTAAACTTGCACACAGTTATGGCCACATTAGCAGGAAAGGCATATTCAGACAGTTAAACTTTATTGAGAGCTGAATTGCGGAATTGCAGTAATGGTCACCAATGACATTTCTGAAGACATCTAGTTATATTGCTGCTGACTTATATTGATCAAGAGAAAATTATCATGGACTGTGATTCTTACCAAACCGGAAAACCTTGTATCTTCCAAAATAATAACCTAAAACCACTTCACATTTACATTTGATTTGATAAATTAATAATGTTCGTGTAGCAGAAATCACCCGAGGCAGAGCCATATGTATGAATTGTATTCTGGTTATTTAGAAAACTTTTTCTTGCATATTTTATTTTAAAGTGAGGCATTGTTCCACACACACTCTGCGAGAAGGCAAAAGAAGTTCAGTATTTCATCTGGGGCTTCATTTGCGTTCATCTGTGCAACAATGCTGTCAGAAAAGTGAAAAATCAGAAGGTGCTTTGTTTCAGTTTTTCCTGAAACGCTGTGTCTCAAGATGAAATGGCTTATTATAACTTCAGTGATGAAGTGAAAAGGCGCACAGCAGTGTAGCTGTGAGTGTGGGCTGGGTTTCTTGCTCCTCGGGGCTGCAGTGGAACATGTGCTAGTGGTGGCCCATTAGCACAGTGCTGTTGCTTCAGAGGCTGGCTGCAGGCAGCAGAGGGTCACTATTCACAAAGCTGTGTTTGTTCTGAGGCCTGAAGGGCTCCCCAGGTTAGTCTGGCTTCACTGACAGTTACATGGTAAAGTATTTCAGTCTTCAGTGCTGGAATTCCACACAGACCATTTTCTCCCACCTTGTTTAGCCGCAGCCGCAGCAGCAGCAGCAGCGGCGAATTTAGTGTTTCAGTTTAAGAAAAGGAATCTATAAAGCGACGACTTGCCTTTTATTATTAAACTGAAGTACATTTAAGCAGACCTTAAAAATTGTAGTTTGAGTAACATGTGTATTTTATTTTTTTTTCCTTTTCAATATGTTTTTCTTTGAAACCAATGAATGAAAGTTTGTCTAATTTACTGCTCAATGTCTTCAGTTTTTTTCAGGTTTACTGTTTATATTAAATTTTAATATCTTAGTTATGTGATGTGTTAACATTATACTTGTACAAGCTGGAAGGAGGCAGCCTTAATCCTGTTTCACCACCATTAATTTTAAAGTAATTGTGTTATGTAGAAGAAGCTCTTAAATAATTCAAATCAGTTTGCCTTCGAAAACAAGCTTAAACTGAATCTTTTTTCCCCTTTTAATCTCTTTATCCATCTTCCAACGGCTACAAGGTGGTACAGTCTCGTGTTAAAGAAACATGTTAAAAATGTTGAAGAAATTTATTAATTGAACTCAGTTGTATTCACTCTACACCTTTGTAGTAATGTTTTTGCAGAAAATCTGTGATTCTAGTGTTGGAACAAAGTAATCGATGCAGTTGCCCATATTCTGCCATACCTTTCAAAAAAATTGCTTTAAATTATTTTTGTTTCAGTAAAAGGAATTCTCCATATACAGTAGATGGAATTATACATTTCAAGTGGGCCTGACTCATGCCAAGCTAATCTTCCTCAGTTTACAGTTTCTGGACTGACAACAGATGGTCTGAAGTGAAAAGCTGAGAGCTTTATGTAACTCAAGCACCTCTGTGTTTTCTGAGGCTGTCCGTTTCACTTCCTAACGTGATGGCTTTCTGAAGGCAAGCATGTTTTTTACCACATAACAAGTGCTCTTCAAGCTATACTTAATGCATACAAGTGTTGTTTTTATCATTTTCTCAACAGATCGAAATTAAAATGAGGAAGACCGAAGCCATCCGATGGGAACAGTTAGAAGGAGAGGGGGCCAAGCCAAATGTCAAACAATTCACACCTAGTAAGCAGCAACTGAAAATTGCTTTCAAACCCATTGCTGGTGAAAACTGGGTTCAGCATTGTTCTAAGTCAATGAAAGTGTAACTTTGAGTCAAGCTAAGATTTTTTCAGCATATCATATATAAGACATGATATATTTCTTACCTGAAAAATAGTTTGTTTATACACCAGACGATTCACAAGGTAAGAGATTGAATCATGTTCTTGCTGCTTTTCTGTTTGAATTCATAGTAAATTAGGTTAACACTTTTATCCAAAGACTCTTCTGTTTGTAACCTGTCATGCAGCTGATTACTTTGCTGAAGCAATCCGAGTGAAGGATCTTGCTGAGTTGTATAATAGTATTGCCCATGGGCTTTGAGTCCAGAGCCACTACTCCACACTGCTGCCTGTTAACTGTAGTGAATCAAAGTCTGATTTCCCATTCAGGTAGTTACTCTTTGTTCCCTGCATGTAGTTAAAATAAAGACACTAATTGTATTTTGTTCTCTTTAGGCCAGTATCCTTCTTCTTCACATTATACAAAAAACTGGGACAAGCTAGTTGTAGATATAAAAGAGGAGGAGAAGAGTGAGAAACTAGAGGGAGATGCAGCTTTGAACAAACTTTTCCAACAAATATATGCGGATGGCTCTGATGAAGTTAAACGTGCAATGAACAAGTCATTTGTAAGTATAATAATCATTTTTTTTAAGTTTAAGTTAGTGTTGTATTACTAGCTATTTTAAACATGGTTTGAGGAATTTAAGATTTCTTTAAACAGGGGGTTGATCTTTTAAGTTTTTTATGGTGACATTGGAATAAAAATATGCAAAGAATCATGGTAAATCCTCAGAAATATTTCTAGCAAGGTAATCAGGGCTGCTGTGGGCTGGGGAGCTCCTGGCTTGCAACCCTCAATGAGCCAGCAGTTGCTTGAGCTTCCTCTGATTGATTTCCACTGCCTTTAGGAGCCTGCAATAAGCTGCTTAATAAGAATTTAGAAAGAAAAAAAATTGCCGAATGGTCATTAATTGTTTTCTAATTTCAGAGAAGACATTTGGGCTATATTGGGGCATGTGAACACAAATGTAGATAATTTATATACTTAAGCATGAACATAATATCAGGGTAGAGTTTGAATTAAGGGTAACTGATTTTTGGTTTTGCACTCGTGCTAGTCACCTAAGTGTTAAAAGGACAAACAGTTTTTTGTCCATTCATTCTGGGTGTTGGGAATCACTGGTGTAGTGGCTAGCAGCAGATTCTGTCTGCACTTCTTGCTCATGTGTGCTCATTTCTGGTCTGCTGTAATGAGGAAACAGCAGTTCTGTATAAAAATCTGTTTGGGAAATAGTTCCATTGGCTTGGCATGCATCAGGTATCCTATACTGTCTATGTTTTTGAGCAGATCTAAGTTGGGGTGTAGCAAAATGCATCCGTTTATTTAAAATAATGATACATTGCTTATTACTCGGAATTATTAATCTATGAGACAAACTTGTTTTGATTTTGCTATAACTGTAATTGGTATTATTAGAGACACGGATAATAAGGTTGTTTTAGTATCTAACGAGACACATCACTAAGGAATTTAATGATATTGCAGTATGTGCTGTTGTTCTGCATTGCTGTGCTGAGTCTGCAGGCTTACTTCAATACTGTATTGCAGATGGAGTCTGGAGGAACTGTTCTGAGCACCAATTGGTCAGATGTTAGCAAAAGAAAAGTAGATGTGAGTCCTCCTGATGATGCAGAATGGAAGAAGTTCTAAAAGCATTTGGATCCCGGAAGCTCACGTTTTCTTCTTCTGTACCTTTTTTGTGGACAGATTTTTTTTTTCCTTGCACTGTTTTGGGGGAAAAAAGGCTGCAAGCAATTCTGTGCATTTTAAAAAAAATCTCAATTTAAAGTGTTTTATTAAAGTTGAACTTTTCTGCAAACCTATTTTAAATAATTGAAAGTAAATTTAATATTGTGTACCGGACTCTTTTTTTTTTCCACAATAAGAAAAGTATGGGCAGTAGCTGGGGTTCTGTATTTACCTAGTGAGATACAAAAGGCATAATGTCCTAGACAAAATTAAGGAAGAAGAGTATTTTTCCAGTCTGATCTAATTTAAATTGTCATTTATTTTCTGACGAATTACTTGTTACATCAGGAAATTTGGCACTGGTTATCTGTGTTCTGTGCAGTGCAAATGTAACACTTTAACAATCATAAATGATAAATGCAGCATTGTTCTTCACTCACTGTGCACAAAAATGGCTGTCAACTTCACAACTGTTTGATTAATTATAATAGCATAACTTTACAGTTCTGCTGGTTCTTCACTGAGGCTTTTGTAAATTTGTGAAATTTATAACTTCCCAGTTTTCAAGGCTTTGACCAGAGATATAGAACCTCTATACAGTATATCCTGTTTGCTGTTCTATTTTTATATTTTTTCTGTACTAGTGATTAACTTTGTGGGTTCAGGACATACAGAAGACTTTGAAAAAGTGGTCTATAGCAATGCGTCTGGGCCAGATTTTATGAAATGTATACCAAAAGAAGTGGACAGACAGCTGTTATGCTGGTTAAGCACCCCACTCATGAAATGGGTTATATTAAATGTAATGTAAAGCCGATCCAGGTCCCCCTCCCTTGAAAGAGTGTGTTATCAAACATGTCAAAAACGCCCTCCACTCCACATGTACCAATAAAATGTCAGGAATAATTTGATGCCCTGCATATTCAATAGACTTCTACAGTTTGTCAGCCTCATCTCTTATCAATTACATGGTGCTGATTTACAAAACTTAACTTGTGAATAGGAAAATATAGACTGTGCCGTATTGCAGGAAAAAAAGAAAAACTGTCCAGTCAGCTCCTTGGCCACGTTGTTACCATGGACTGCACAGCTTGGGGTAGTTCTTAAATCATTAAGCTACTGTCAACCAAATGAGTAAGATGGGCCAAATGGCCTCTTCTTCAGTACCTTTCTTGTGTCACAGTGTCTAGAATAGGGCTATTCAGTCACATTTGTAAAAGAGTATCATGCTGGCATCCATGTAATATGTGACATCAACAAATCAAAGGTATATGTATTCTGCAGAGATAACAACAGGACTGATTTGGAGTCTTGAATGTTCCTGTATGTTGGTGGTTACTTCAGTGGCAGCAGCATTGGACCTGCTTCATCAGATGCAGTGTGTATATTTCCAGCAATATAATAAAACACCTTTGTTTACTGCTGGTTCTCAACTTCACTCAAAATTTAGATTTATATACTGTATGCCTCTACATTTATATACTTTTCTGTGAAGTTGGCTATCAACAGTGTGTTTCCCTAACTGCATGTGGTTGGTCCTCTTAAGCATGAGCTCTCAGCATTCAGGAAATTTATATATGAAATAAGACAGGAATAAAGCATGGATTTATTAACGAGCACATTACAAATAACATAGAAATAAAGCTGTTTAATGTATAGAGGACACATTAGCGTGGAAAAAAGGCTGTTGACACTAATTGCAGCAATCTAAAAAGACGAGCTTTCTACACATTCAGCTTTAAATGCGCAACAATCTTTCAATAGGATTAACAATATAGTTAGCACTTTATTATTTATTTACATCCTGGAAAAAGGAAATTTTGTATTATTTGGTCTTTAAATACGTATGTTTGTTACATAAGGCAGAGTTTCTGAGGACTTCTTTAGCTGCGATCTCCACTGAGTTTCCTTGATGTTATGCATGAGTCAGTCGGAGATCTACAGAACGCCTAATATGCGTCCGACCCACCAGCGGCACGGCATGATGATCCTGCAAGCAACACGGCATCCCCGGTAGTCATAGGGCCAGGGCCAGTAGCCTCCGAGGGGCTCGCATATCCGCTGGCAGTGCGTATAGCTGCGCCTGCACTCCGTGCAGCAGATTCCTTGGTGGTCCAGCATGGGGTCAAAGGTCATGGTGTCTTCCTCCCCTTCCAGATTTCTCTAGAAAAGCAAATCGAATACTTCAATAGGCAAGAATAGGCTTGATGCCATCCATTAAGCCCCCAGTAGTTGAATTCTGAGAAATTTCCATGTGCACTGTTGGGAAACAGTTTGTCCCCTTGCTTCTGTTTCCAGATGGATGACTCTGGCTCTAGTTTCCCTAGACAAATGGTTTCTAACCTTTGACCCAGGTGAACCACCCGGTCACCCCTTCCAGGTTTTTGTTACAAGTTGAGTTCTACATCACTAGCGCTTGCTGATCCCCTTAATTGATCTGCTTGCTTCTGGGAAGTTTTGGTTTACTTGTTTCGGGACTTGTTGCTACATTTCAAGGACACCCAACTTTCAAGCATATTGCTTCCTACAACCTGAGATGCATTGCCTGCCCTTATTCCTGCGTGAGTAGCTCTTAATGGGTGAATTAAAGGTTTTTGCCCCTTCTGCAGTGGTCCAGCTGGTTACATTTCAGGCAGTATACTTGAAAAAAGGGAAATTCTGAAACTCAGAAATTGGTAAAATGATCCCAAAAGTTCCACACTCCATTCAAAGGTTTATGAGCCGATTGCAAATTTAAATATATTCCCCTAATAGAAAACTGAAATCAATTAGCCTGTGATTAAGAAATTGACTGGACCAAAGACCAGAAGAAACAGCAATCCCCCAGGACAAGGGTTGTGAGCCAGAGCCCTAGGCACTAATCGAATTGTGGCTTTGTCATCACTTTAAGGAAGGAAGATCACTATTTCCCAAATGCCTTAATGCTTAACGCTCTGAAATGCTTGGAGCCCCTCTTGAAAATCAGATGGATTTTATTTTGTTAAAAGTCTTTTTGCTTTTATCAGAGAAATCTGCAGGAAGTCCTTTGTTCCTGTTCTGTGTTTTTCCAACTCCAGCAATCTAGGGAGTTTGCTCAGCCCTTATAGTGGTTTCACTACCGAAATCACATTATGAGAAGTAACCATTTTGCACACCTTTTGCAGTGCATCACACATTTGTAGGCCATCTCATGTACAAAACTGTAAATGCAATGAAAAGCAGAATCCTGTTCTTTTGCTCCCATTTCTCAATTTCTGTTGAACTGGGTTCAGCATGTGTCCAGCATGTTCAGCATGTTAAGAAATTGACTGGACCATAGACCATAGACCTACAGTATGGAAAACCTGAGGGTCCCCATGTGTGAGTTGAGTCCTTCTGTGCCAGAAGTCTGACTATTCACTGCTAGTGGGTATCGTGCTGGGTCTTCACATAATGGTTAGAATGACAAAGGGGTTTGTTCCTTTGGTGAAAAGAAGGCCAGGAAAATAGACTTGAGGTGACAGCAGTGGTTTCTGTGAGTGACCTTGGCAACTGTGTAGAAATGCACACAGCTGCCTCACGGATAGAAGGCTTATGATAATGCTTGCTTTAGCACAAGCTGTAGTGTATTTAAAATATTCGCTTTTCGACTACAAATACAGTTTTATGGTAGATATGTCCTTGAAGTAGAGATAGACACAGGAGTTAATTTCATATTGGAAAATAAAAAGAAAGGAAAAGGAAAACATTTTGGCATGGCACGGGAAACCAATTCTAATGTGTTTTTGTAGGAGCCAAGTTAGAATTTAGTTGGTAAAAATAACTTGTGTTAAATTGGATTGTGTTGACTTAGGATTCTTTTAATGGGTCACATTAATAAGCAGTTTAGAGATGGAAAATGCATCAGTCTGCAAGCTGCAAAGGAAAAAAATGAAGGCTGTGCTTTTCTTAATCTTGTTATTTTTCTGCATGGCACATATGTCTGCTTCTTTCTCTGTGGCTTGCATGCTGATGTAGATATGATGAAGAGTGCAGGACTGTTCATGACTGAACTGCAGCTGTGGTGTTATGGATGTTTCTCAAAACCTTTTGAACTGATTTTGTTTTCTTTTGTTTGTAACACTGGTGTTTATCATTTTTTGTGCTTCACAAACATATGCCAGAAAACCTTAATAAAATAGTTAATATTAAAATATTCTTAAACTGATATAAGCTGTGCGAATAACACAACTCATTGGTAATTGTAAATTGATGCATATTGCCTTCTTTTGTTTTGGTACTTACGTGATAGGGGTTCTCTGGGTTGAAAGTGGGCTCTTCCTCATCTGTAACTCTCCTTGAGGTAACATTCTGAGATCGACCAACAGTGTTCACCTGCTCTGCAGCCTCTATGAATGGATCATAAGGTTCTGACTGGCGTCTTGGACGTTGAGCTTCTCTTTTCTTTCTCTGTCCATCTGTAAAACAATAATTATGCCTTTCCAATGACTGACGTACAGACGCCTTTGCCCAAAACGGTTAGTCTGTCTTCTTACAGAAAAAGCAGCTCAATTTCCCCATCAACATAAAAGATTGCAAATTTTCTCCATTTAATTTGTTCTTCTTGTGCATATATATTTAATGGCAGTTAACATGAAATAACATGAAGAATGTTAAGTGATTTACTTCTACATACATATTTCGACACTATGAAATGTTTTATTGCTTAGATATAGCTATAAATAATAATAAAATAAAAATAATGCATAAAATGTAGACAGTAATAGGTTGAAGACAAATATTTGTGTGATCTCTATCATTTTTCATTATTGTACATTAAAGGTAAGTTTTTACTACACCTTTTTGAGCATACAGAATAGTGTCTGAGTTTGTATTTTAAGCTAGTCCTAATGAGACTTGGATTGTTTGCACAATTATACCATTCTACAGTTAAATAATGTCTCAGTACCTTTGGCATATGTCTGACGAAGCCAGAAGATTGGTAGATTGTCACAGAGGTCCAGGATCTTGGCGCTCAGAAAGCTGTTGTCTTTCACTGGTTGCTCTGCAGACACCCAGATGAGAGGCGACTCATCAAATTTAGCTGGCATAATCTCATCTTCCTGTCAAGATGAAAGAACATTCTTGTTGCTTGCCAAAACTGATGCACTGGTTCATAAGGCTGTACACCTTGGATTGCTCATAAACGTGGTGAATGAAAACTTGGAATAAACCTCTCACTTCATAACATCTATTTAGGTTGTTCTTTGATGTTTAAGAGACATCACCCACCTCTGCTGCATATCAAACACTAATGGAATTAGAAGTGAGGTATACATAGTATACCTTATCCAAAGTAACTTATCAGAACTAGACAGGTTCTCCCAAAGATCATGAGCATGTATCTTCATTACTGTAAGTACCATAAACAAGTAAGACTGAACAGTGGTAATCACATCTTTAAAGACAGATCCACCTGCAATCAGAAAAGAAAATTCACAGTTCTATTAACCTTTCCATGTATGGAGACATGTCAAAAAACACTTTAGTCAAGTTGTGGTCAATCCTGATCCTGGACAGAGACAATCCAACAGGTTTCCTATGTCATCCATAATCCAACGATTTCTAAACATTTAGAATGAAGCTGTTAGCATTGCTGCCCTGCAGCCCTGGGGCCCTGGGTTCAATTGCTGGGGTACTATTGGCATTGAGTTTGTATGTTGTCCCCATGTTTTTGTGAGCTTCCACTGGGTGCTCCGGTTTCCTCCCACAGTCCAAAGACATGCTAGTAAGTTAGCTTCAGGTAAAACTGGCCCAGGTGTGAGTGTGTGTGTGTCTGCATGTGTCCTGTACAGGGTGTATTCTGCCTTGCACCCAATGGTTGCTGGGATAGGCTTTGCCCCCACCCCCCCACCCCCACGACCCTGAACTGGATTAAGCTGTAAGAGGATGGGTGGAAAACAGGGCTATAGGAAAGTTTACCTTGTGTTCAGAAAAAGTAAACACAAAAAAATATTCTATTGGGAAGTTTGGGAAAGAATATCAATTACTGTACCATCTTTAATGGTTTGCATTTACTGTAATCTAGTATGAAGCAAGGTTTCTTTCTTCAATCATAAAAAATCAAGTGAATTAGGACAATCACAGACCGCAAGAGACAATTTCAAGACATCAGTCTTGTCAATTGGAGGAAACCAGACTGACCAGAGAAAACCTACACAAACATGAGAGAACCTGCAAATTCTCCACAGAAGTCTCTACAGTTCCCACTGCGATCTACCTTGTTAAGGTGTATAACATTTCACTGATTCTGTCAAAATCAACAGACTAGAATATCTGAAAAACTGGTGTATCGTGTTTTTGAGGAATCCAAAATATTTTACCATTTGGAATTCTAAAGGTCCCATTGAATCAAGCAGCATAACCTTTTTGCATGCATGTTGCTCATGGATCTGACTATTATTATAGTGCACAAAGGAAATTTCCAAACTTCAGATATTTAAAAAATAACAATTAAGCCGTGAGCAGCATGATGGTCCAGTGGCTAGCATGGCTGCCTTGCCATGCTGTGGCCTTGGGGTTCTATCTGTGGGGAGCTTGTATGTTCTCCCCACTTTTGCTGCTCCAGTTATCTCCCACGATCCAAAGACATACTGGTAGGTTAATTGGCTTCTGAACACAATTGGCCCTGGTGTGAGTGTATGCATCGCAGTGCCTATGGGTGCCCTGCTGTGGTCTGGCGTCCCGTCCAGGGTATTTTCTGCCTTGTGTCTACTGCTTGCCAGGATAGGCTCATGCTCCCCAATGACCCTGAATGGAAAATCATGGGTGAATTCATCTGCTGAAAGTGATTAATTCAAGCTGGTGAACTTTGCCTGAAAATACATTGTATACAATACAAAAAATAAAAACGATTTGATACAATGACTTTGTAAGCTTTTTGATGCAGATAGTTCATCCAGTATATCTGTATTTTTCTGCCTGCTTGAGATTAACAGGAGAATTAAATATCCTCATCGTATTGGATCTGTAAAATCTCAAAAACCAAGGCACATTATGAGAGATGTACATTTGTCATTTTTCTTCAAAGACACCTGAACATGTATTTTATAGTGAAGAAAGTACCAAAGAAACTACAGATGGTGTTTCTTCTGAGTTCAAAACCTACCAGGTCAAAGGTTAGTGACTCTTTGTTCAGAGTCTCCACGTCAGGGAGGTGAGCCTTAGCTTGTGCTTTAATATAACATTTCTCTCTTCCAGAGAAGCGAATTCCAGTGATTCCCTGCATTCAACACATTGTAGAAATACTACGGTAAACAGTGATTTTATGGATCTAGAAAAATTTCATTCTGGTAACCTTTAGAAGCTTTCCACTTTCTTAATTCTTATATTTAATCCATTTATGTATTAATAAATCTGATCAACATACATATAAATGCAAAACTTTCAATTGAACACAACTATCAATTATTACGTATTTTTATGTATCGTAGACTCTGTTTCCTACAAAATGTAATCGTTGTGGTTTTTATTGCAAATTACAAACATGCTAGAATAAATCAATTCAGCGAGATCATTTAGAGCTTGTGTGAAAATGCAATACAAATTCATTTTTAAAAGATTTTAAAGCTAGCAATGACAGTTTTAGTGGCCCAGACTCACAATGTGAAAGTCATGAACCTCCACAGCCTCATCGTTCCCAATTTTTGTCTTGAATGTCTCCATGTTATTCGCAGTATCAATTTCCATGGATCCTTCCTCTACTTTTCCATTGATGCTCATGCTGTAGTGAACATTGTACACCTGCAAAATTAAAAAAAAATATATATTTTTGAAACAGCAGCAAGTAAAGGTTTTGCATTCTATTCACATTCTACTCTGGAATTTGACTGGAAGAGCTAGATATAAATAATTTACTATTTATTTACATGTCTAAATGTGTCTTCTATTTTTTTATGTGTTCTACTAGTGTGGGTTTAATACCAACAGTATTCTGCATGTCTACAGTGACAGCAAGCAATTACCCATAATGTTTATAATATATGTACACTCCTCATTTTAAAGGCGATAATACTGCTAGCTAATACATCACACTTTAAGGTGTTTTCACAGCAAATGAAGTAGCTTTTATATTGACATGCATGTTTTCTATTCTTTTATTTTACCAGGCCACTCAATTGAGAACAAATTCAAATTCATAATGACGAGATGGAGGCCTATTTGCTTATATAGCTGGACATGAGTAGAACAATTTAATTAAGGACCACGTGTAAGTATATAACTGCATAAACTGATCTCAGGTGCCTCTGGTCTGAAGGTCAGAACTCTATCTAGCCACTACTCCATGCTGCTGCCTCATGGTTGTAATGTTTTCAACTGCAATGTTGCAATCGGCCTTACTACACAACAGGCAAAAACCAAGTACCCAGATTTAATTAGGAGAAAAAAAACTTTTCGGGTAAAGTAATGTTATGGCCCCACCCTAAAATATTGACCAATCCACTCAGTGGATACGCAGCTGGAGGTAAATAAAAACACTGTGTAACTTAGTATTTCCATTTTAGTATCTTATACTTTGATACTTAGTATCAGAGATTCAATACGAACGAATGGAACTAGGAACTCCTCCTATGACGTCACCACACACGTATTTAAAGAAATTTAATATCGACAGTATGAAGGTGGATTTTTTTCTGTATATAAAGATAAATAAAATATATTAAACAAACTCGGCACATAGGAACTGATAGTCCACTCATAAGAGTGTAAATCAACAGTTACACTGCTTTTTTATCACACAATGGAAACCAACCATAGCAATTAATGCTTTCAGAAAGGTGTCAAAAACTATAACAGAAACAGTTTCTAACAGTATGAAACATTTCTAAAGACCTGAGTATTTCGCTTAGCAAATATGTTCCTTAAAAACACTAGGTGGAGGATGGAATGCATTGCAAATGAGTTACCCAGGCGGGCTTAAGCGCTCAAGCTAGTATCTACACCGCTCGGACCCAGGGTTACCAGCAGACCACTCTGGCTGTGCAAGCGCCTACGGTAGCCACATACCTGCCTCCATACACACAGGGGCATTTAGAATTATACACAGAGTAGGAGAAAGGTGGAAAGCTTACGTGCTTGTCGTTCCAAAAGTAAAAGGCACCGATAGCACCAACAAGCAGAAGAGCTGCTCCTGCTATCAGCACCGCTGCTCCAATTTTCAGAAGACGACCACTGTTGGAGGGTTTTACAGTCACGGCAGTGTAAGCCTTCTCAAGGGAATAAGAAATACAAAACCGTAAAGCAGGGCAGCACACGAAATGCAGCTTGAAAACCGTGATAATTAAGCTAATGGGTGCCGAAATCAAATCCAGGTGTGGTTTTACACTACGGTTTATGTCACTGGATCGTTTGACCTCCAGATAGTTTAGCCCATTTTAAATGAGAAGAATGAAGATATCTATATCTCATAGATTCTTAAAGTAAGAATTTCAGAATTTTTCATTCTTGTTAAACTTGCTGTTTTCCGGGTATATAACAGTCACACACTTCAGCTCATTACATATATGAAAGTTAAAAAATATAATATTTTGTTTCTGCATATATTTTGGCATGACAATGAGTGTTTTTTTATGTCAGCAGTACAAATAATAATCATTGACGTTGCATTTTCTAAACCTGTTTAATTCGCTTTCTGTTCCGGAGTTGTCAAGTTTGGGTTGTTGTATGATACAATGAAAAATGTTTCACTACTTACAGGTGGTAAACACTGTTCCACGTCTTCTGGTCCTGCCAGAGAGATGGGGACTTTCTCCGAAGTCTCTGCCATGGCTACTAATGGACTTCTGAATCAGACTGTCCACCGGTGCACTCTGCACTTCACCCGGAGTGGACGTGACTAGAGTGCTAACTAGTTACAGAGCCTGTTATATTAGCCTGGCTCTACGCTTTTTTTCGTCTGGGCAACTGCTTCAACCCACTGACAAAACTTGCTAGATTCCTTCGCGGACAGTTTTTTTTTTTTGCTCCTGTCATAGGCGTCCCTCTCAAAATATTTTTATTGGAAGGCAGCCCTTATTTTGTATACGTGAAGGGTTGTCTTAAACGCTACTTTTTATGCAGGGCTGTCGTAGCCTAAGTTAATTAGAACTGACAATTGCCTCGGTGAAGTTTAAAATCCTTCTGCAGCGTTCATTTGATGTAACTGTCAAGACGCTAATGAGAAACTATCAATATTAAGATCTGGGAACATGGCACACTTTCGGTTGGTGCATTTCTGATTACTCGGGCACGTCATGTCGTATTTTTTCTTATTAAGCAAGACTGCTTTTCTCTGTATATACTTTTAAGAAACATACGGATTGCGAGAAATACTCAACACACTACAAGATCCCGAATAGACAGACATTCTTAGAACGACGTATTACGTTTAAACTTAACTGTTTTAGTTTAGTTTAACTTGGTAAAGAATTTGTATATCGAGCGTTTTCCTCGATGATGTACCTTTAAACCGCCATTTCACCTTTTCGACTCCCTGAGGGATTGACAGGTCACACAGAAATGCATTACCCAATACAATGAATGGCGATAGTTTTCGGGAAGGACTACATGCAGTGACACAAAGGTGAACAGAATCAACAGCGCGCGTGACACGTCTCATTCTCTCCAGCTGAACACACACGGTCTGTTTGAAGATCATTTTGGTGAACTTTTCTTCTCTTCCTTCACAAATTCTAAGATGAGGCTACTGTGTTGTAATAAACCATTCATTTGTAGTTGTAACGTTCTGCTACATTGAAGGTTTGTTGCTCCACTTACAATATATGAGTAAAGCCGGGAACCCTGGATTTATTAATATATACTGTATACAGTGACAACGAATTCGGGTTTTTTTTCTGTCCAAAGGTACTTTCTATTTAACACATATCCACATAACTTGCAAATACATTATTTTAAAACTCGGGTTAATGGTGCATTGTATTTACGAATGCTATCTTATTTTATTTCAAAATGACGAAAAGAGCAAAAGTATATAGAATCCATTCTGGGGGAAAAAAGTAATGATATCAAAACATTTATTTTTCAGTGGTCAGGTCGCTACAAAGACGCCTTTCATTCAATTAATCAACAATACCAAAAAGATTCGATTTTGCAATAGTGTATACTGTATATACAGAAGCAGATGCTTTTTGCCAAAAGGAATATTGCTGAAAGTTTAATGTTGTAATATAATTTGAAAATGCTTCCCGGAAAGAGAACTGCAGAACAATTTGCAAATAATAAATACAGTAGCTGTTGGATAACCTGAGGGTCTCTATAATCATCAGATATCTGTCCTACGGGCCACATCTTAACACATGCAAATGATGTTGCTGAAAAACAGGTCATTATAGTAGAATATCTTGAGTACTTTGAAGGCAAAGTACTGTACAAAGTATTATTGTACCAATGCACTACTTACTAATGCAACAAACCACAATGTTTGTCAAAAACTGTAGTTATGTTTGATATACAGCATGGGCTTTCCTAGTGTGAGTCAATAAAAACTCAACTTAATTATGTGCTTCTCACAGGTAATTGTAATTATTTGTATTAGATTGCAAACCTTGGTCCACCTGAAAACAGGAGAATTGAGTCAGAAAAAAAAAGAGGAAAGAGCTTTGGAAACACGTTGTGACAGGAATTTTAATCTTTTAATCCTGTTAATAGTTGTTTGTGTAGCTTTTGGTTTAATCAGCATGACAGGTCTGATGCAGTCTTCAACAGGAATATCAGTAAGACAGAGCTCATGATTTAGTGAGTAGATAATGCATTCTACTACTAATGCTACAATTACTATTAGTATCATTAACACAATTAAATGCACACAGTCTGAGTGTGTTTATTCTGGATAATATTCACTCTCTTTACTTGTGTCTATAGATCACTGTGGCTAATTATGTACCATAAAACAAACACCAAGTTTAAAATTGTCGTTGAATAGCTCAACCCCACTCTACATTTGATCTTCTCTTCTACTTACATATCAGATCTGACATCTCATGCGGCAACCGCTCTGAGTCTACGAAGCTTTTAGCAGAACAGTACTGTGGGACAACAGCGCCACCCTTCGATCCATCTTCAGTTAGAGAACAGTATCCGATTCCAATCCATGGAGTCTAAAAAAACTTTGTATAGGAGGTTTTTAATTTGCGATCTTCTTTCCTTTACGGTTTTGTCATTCACCTTTTCACTAAAGACACTGGCAAAAGTATATTCTAAACAATAAAATATAGCGTAGCCCCCGCCGTATTACATACAGTATGAACACCTGCCGTCTCAGAGGCCCGTGTGTCTGTCAATGTGCTTCACACTTTTGAGACAGAAGATAGACCTACTGTATAACCTCTTTACGTGTGCAGTAAACAAGTGATTTATATTTTTGAAATAAACACAGTCTTATTGGTCATAAAATACTGTTGGTTTAATTTCCACTCAGTGATTTTGTTCTTATACATCCACTTAAGTTGTATGTTTATACAAAATATACACTTCATGAGAAATTCATGGAGTTATACACTCTAAAATTTCAATATTTACTCAATTTTGATCTTTATTTCTACAGAACCACTTAATTCGTAAACCAATGACAATAGGTAGCGCTTTTGCTTATGACTGTATTCATTGAATGCAGGCTGTCACATGAAATTAAAACATTTTGAATATTTAAAGCTCAATGAACTAGAAAAGAGGCAAAAAGGACATGCAATAAATTACACTGACGTTTTACAATAAAACATTTAAATACTTTTATTTATAGTGCCGTGACAAAAATATAAAACAAACACAGTGACATTTTACATTCGAATAATATCATACACCGTTATCAACTTGATACAGTCATTTTCAAGCCTTAAAGGCTAAGGCAGTATAATTACTCGGCCCAGCGAGATTTTAGGCCCATCCAACAGTTAGGATTGCAGTTTCCTTTCAAAACACGTCTTCATCAATAGCCAACAGTAATACAACTTTGTTTTTTTTTAATTAATGCTTATAAAAATATACTCTGTATGTACAAAACCTTGCATAATATACACAGTATCTTTAAACAAAGTCATACAAGTGACCAGATACAATCATAAAAGACTTACGCTGACATTAAAAAATGTAAATACATATATAAGCGATATATTTGTTTCTTTTTACAAAGCCAAGAATTAAATACCGTGCTTAGCCCCATGGCCCCGAGAGATTCTTTTAACAATTTTCAATTTTAAAAAAAGGTAATAAATAAATTGCCGTATTGCTTCAATGTTAAGTTCTAAACATTTTTAGACTGGCACCTTGTTGTGGTGGGCGTGTACACGGGAAGCGTGATTTCATTTAGTTCTTGGATTCTGACAGGTCGAGGAGGGGAAACGAGGACATAGTCATATTCCCGGTGAAGAACCTTCTCGTACACGCTCTGCAGGCCCACGGTTTTAGGGATCTGCGCCGGGTAGTAGTTCTCTCTGCGGAGGGATTCGCGCGGGAGCGAAGCTGTCTTTGAGAACGAAGACAGCTGCTGAGCCGCGTGCGGCGCCTGGTTGCTGGCGCTTCCCCTCATGGCTGACGGACTCCAGCAGCGATCAGAGTGTCCCAGGATCTTACACTCGCTCGTGCATGCCCACAGACCTGTGAGAAAAAAAAAATACATAAAAATCACATTAATCACGCAGCTGGAAAGGTGTTAAAAGAGTTTCATCTTATTTTCGGCGTTGAGTCAATTCTCTTTCGTATCCTCTGCTCATTCTCCATTCCAACTAGAGGACAAACCGGTATTATACAGGACAAGCACTGAGATAATGAATGAATATCTGCAAATAGATAAAAGGGTGACTTGCTTTAAAATGTGAAATTCTGTGTGTGACAATGCATCTTATTGTTATAGGTTCTATGAGGTCTGACAACGCTCTCTTTTACGCGTTTCAGTTGTTCAAAAGTACACACGCACCAGCCTCGCTGAGTTTTGCCTGACATTCCCAGGGGATATTAAATTGGGTACTACACCAGTCCTTACCATTTTGCATGCTGACTGGAGCGCAGTCTTTCTTGATAGCGTCTCCGCTGATATCGGAGTCGCTGTCGTTGAAGTCACTGTCCCCCTTCCCGCTGTCTTTCCCGCTGAACTGTGGATCCCGCGCCGAAATAGTGGTGAAGGAATTACCCTTCCAGATGGCAATCGGCCGGACAGCTTCTTTACCGTAGCCGGGAAGCGTGGAATAACCCTGGAGGTTATTGCACAAATGGAAGAAGAAAAACAATTAGATTACGAAGAGAGTGCAATAAACGAAGTACACAGTCAAGTATACCGAAACGTGAAGGATGAAGCTGCTATTTTTGGGCATCTTACCTCTAATTTAGAACCCCGAACCCTGTTGTCTGGTTCATACAGTGCACTCTCATTTCCATCTTCAGAGCCTGAGCACATGTCGCTGCCTGTAGTCTGAGAATTTGAAAAAGACGATTTACTGGAGTACGTTCTACCCTCGAATACGTTTCCGGCGTGGCTGGATATTAATGAGTCGCTGTTGTTTCTTCCTTTTTCCAGGTGGGGGATATCCACTTGATCCTGGAAGTTGCTCGTTTTCTTTTCTTTTTTGCGTCGATTGCAGGTCGTCGCGATTAAGATGATAGCTAGCAAAAGAAGAGAGCAGCTGCCCGCTAAAACGACAATAATCACGACTGACGTATCCCACAGAAAGGGGGTCTGATTCTCGCCGCTCTGTTTGACTACGACGTGGTCACTAGGTGGAGCCCCTTCAATAATAGTGAAAAGAATCGTTGCAGTAGATGACAGAGAAGGTCTCCCGTTGTCGCTCACAATAATGCTGACTTTAACGCTTTCCCTCACATTATAGTGCAATTCGCGATTTAAGTAAACTTCCCCTGTAACTTTGTTGATCGAAAATGCCATGTTCTCATCTTCCTTTACAAGTCTATAGGAGAGCTCAGAATTAATGCCTTCGTCCGGATCCCTGGCTTTAATGTGGGTGATTAGGAACCCAGACGGCGCGTCTCTAGGGACAAAGATTTCCGCAGATCCATTAGTCAGAACTGGCTGCGTGATGGAAGGTGCGTTGTCGTTCTGATCAACTATTTGTATGTTGATGATTGCGCTGCTGTGAAGCTGAGGAGAGCCCCCATCGCTTGCCTGGATTCTAATTTCGAGCTCCTTCATGACTTCGTAATTGAAGCTTCTCAAGGCATACATTGAACCGGTAGCCGGGTCAACAGACACAAAAGTAGACACGGGAGAGCCCATCACATAAGTGTCGGAAATCCGGTAAATTACTTTCCCATTGTGTCCCAGATCCAGATCTCTTGCAACCACCGTGGTGATGTATGCGCCTGGCGCATTATTTTCCACAACCGAAACTTCATAAATTGGTTTGCTGAAAAGAGGGGCGTTGTCGTTCTCATCACTGAGCCTGATGGTGTACTGAGTTATTGTTCTAAAGGGGGGTGACCCCAGGTCCTCGGCGACCACCGTTAAATTATATTCAGATATCTTTTCTCTGTCTAGAGATGTTGTGGTTACAATCATATAACTGTCTTCATAGGCTTGCTGGAGCTTAAAGTGATCGTGTCCATAGAGAGTGCAGTGAACCTGCCCATTTGCGCCTGAATCTCTGTCCGAGGTGCTGATCAGAGCCACAAAACTGTCCTTCGCTGCAGCTTCAGTGATGTAGGCGATGCCCGCAGTAATTGAAGTCATGGGAGTAATACTGATTTCGGGAGCGTTGTCGTTCACGTCTTGGACATGAATAATAATTTTGCAGATTGAAGGGGTAGGGTTGGGACCCAAGTCAGAAGCCTGCACATCTAATTCATACGTTTTCTTGGTCTCAAAGTCGATCGGGCTTTCGAGCGTTAAACGTCCTGATTTGCGATCCACTTTGAAAAGTTGTCTGATCTCAACAGACACCTGATTACCGAATCCGTAAACAACTTCACCATTTAAACCCTCATCGGGATCCACTGCGTTTAAGTCCAACAAGAGAAATCCCACTGGCGCATCTTCTTGCAGCTCAACAGAGAAATTATTCTGGTCAAACACTGGGCTGTTGTCGTTGAAGTCTTTTACCTTAATATTTATTCTAGTGACACCGGATCTGGGTGGGTTCCCTCCGTCTGTGGCAACAAGCTCTAAAATATGTGATGACTGGGCTTCCCTATCGAGTTCTTTCATTAGCACAAGCTCCGCATATTTAACCCCATCCGCTCTGTTCAGGACTTCAATGGTAAAATGACTATTGACTGAAATTTGGTAGCTCTGAATGTAGTTTAAACCCACATCTTCGTCAACCGCAACATCTAAGGGAAATCGGGTACCCACTGCTGCGCTTTCCGAAATCTCCAAGGTAGATTCTTGGTTGGGAAATTCTGGAGAGTTATCGTTAATGTCTTTTATTTCCACCTCAACGTGGATCAGTTTGAACTGCTCTTTCGAAAAGCTGACAACGTCGAAAGCGATAAGACACTGTAGAGAATGCTTGCAGATTCTTTCTCTGTCAATCCGCTCTCCAATGGTGAGCTGCCCGTCGCTTTCTCGCAGTTTTATAAAAGAAGAATTGAACTGTTTCATCATTCTGAAATTTGTCTTGCTTCCTTGAGAGGGATTTATCAGCAAGTCCTTGGCTAGGTTTCCGATCACAGTGTCAGGGATGTCTTCCTCGTAGGTTTGGTATTTGACAGTCTTTCCTTCTGAAATTGCGGGTAAGACGGACAGGGAGTGCAATAAGTAGACTCCGAACATCCATCTATGCAAGACAGTTAAAGCACCTTGCATATTTTTCGTGCCCATGTTGGTTGGTTAACTAACCTGAAATCACTTCACTTATCTTAACTGTTCATTTAAAACAAAGCTCTTGTCGAGTCGAATTTGTATCTTCTGAACACACCAGGTTTCCTAAACTGCGATGAAAGTCGCCGTTGAATGTGCGCACACTGCTGTGCTCGTTTCCAGAAGCCTTTTCAGACAACTCCAAAAGCTGCAGTGGCTGGGAGGTTTATAGAGATCCACATGCAAATGAGATGAAGTGTGACCAATCGTCGCTTTGAAATTAAAAATGGCTCTTTTAAAGACCTCTAAGCCTATTTGGAAATTCCTTGAACGTGTAAAGAACTTGGCACTGAAATGTAAAACGCGACTATAGCCTACTTGTTTTAGCATATTTTAAATTACTCTCCGTATTTTATCTAACATATACTGTCAAGAGTGATTACATAGCTATAGATATAGACCTGGGAATTATGTGTATTCTTTAGAAAATCTGAAGCCTTATTTCTTATACATAGAATAAATCTGGTGTTTGTCTTTTCTGTTTCCACAAACCTGAGTTGCAGAGCACACGCTATTTTCTGTATTGTTTTACAAAGGAAACTAAGCGAATTTTCCCAATCCTCCCTGGTGCCTTGTAATCCGATAAAGGCATCCAATGCAATTTTACTTAATAAAAATAGATCAATTTAAAAATTGATTTTATTTAAATTGGTGCGCCTTAATGTGTTTTATTCACGCGATCTCGTGTGATCTGAGCTGTTATGTGCTGTTGGAATTCCTGTATTGTTGGGTAGTTTTAACATGCATGTCACTACTTACGCAGCTTTTCTCTTAACCTTGCCCGCTAGCAGGTGAAGAAAACCCGTTTCAAATGGGATTTAGTTAAAGCGCTAGGAGATTTAGGCGGATTTCTATAGTCAGATTATATCAAAGGCTTATGAAACCCTCGTTAGCAGTAGAGATATAATAGCATGGTAGGGTATCCCACTGGAGGCATCAATGTCTGTATTATTCTAGTGTGGCAGTCTAAAGGGAAAGGAACTTTAACAGTTTCAACAGAGGGCTGCGGCTAAGTTGAATATAATGACCGAACGCCACATGTATCCATTGTGCTTCCCCATTCACCCCCCAATCACTGCCATAACTCTTTGGCTAAACGATGATGGGTTCTGAATTGTACAGGACTGCAAGCTCGTATTAAAATACATTTAGAGACCAATCCCTCCCGATAGTTCCGTCACGGCTATTCAGCGGATTTTCGCTTTTTGTTTCCCTGAGACCCTCTCTGGGAAGCAGCACTTGCCTCCCAACAGAAGGACAAAACAACAGTATGGGGCTCAGGTTTTCCACAGACCAAAGGGAATGGAACCATCTGCCCTGCAAATCCTGAAGAAACACCAGAGGTGTTAAAATACCTGTAACAGAGACACTGAGAGTTTAAGAACGACGTGCATGGCTTTCCAACAACCCGCTAGTACAGCCTAGCCGTATTTCTGACTGACAAATAGTTCGTTTCACAAATCTTAGAGCTGAGGCAAATGGCATGTAATACGGAAAGTAATATTGACCGGTTTCAATGGGGCCTGGAATCAACACTATTGCGTGCGAGAACTCCTTCGAGAATACTCCTTCAATTCAAATTGTAGGCCGATTGCACTCGCGTTAAAACTTTGCAAAACAAAATTTGAAGTCAGATATTGCGTAGACCGATCCATTTCAATGCCAACATACGGTATATTTAGATTCTGGCAAACCGTTTGCGCTGTAGTGCCCACTTCCATACAAAATGTGCCTGATGGTGTGATAATAATTGACATTTGTGGTGCACCCTGAGCTCAAGATTCTTAGGGAGTTATTCCAATCAAAAACAAATTACACAATGTTGAAATCTCTTTAGAATGCTAGACAGACTTTCTCCTACTGAGCCTTCTATTGTAAAGTGCCTTAAAACTTTTGCATGCAGCCATTCTATCACGTGATTCGTGTGTCAATCTCGCCGTCTGCACGCGAGTTTGACAAAGGTAGAATTAGACCCTGCCATGAAAATCCATCTTTTATTCGTGCAGGGTATTTGCATTTTTCTTTAAAAAGAGAAAGCCTGCCATTGTGACCACATTTGTTCTCATGATTGCCAGGCGGTTGTCAGCTAAGTTGCTCGTATGAGCCGTTCTTTTGAGTAAGCTTAACCCTTTTGGTATGATAACGAGGTGATTTAGTCTTTTGTTACCGAGATAGGCGATGGGCAAAGGGGGTTTAAACCATCGATCCTTGAACTAGTGCGGCGTTTAAATCAAATCTCCATAATCCAGTATCCGGGCTTGAGAATGTTGGACAACCCCAGCAACCTTCGCTTACTTAACTCGCGTGCCATCACACCACTTCACTAATTACTCCTTAACACAGTCTAAAAGCTAATTAGCAACACTTTTCCGCAGAGTACTTGGCACGCTTGAGTGAAGCATTCTGATATCTCACCTTGTAAATTGCTCGAGTACTCTGATCTTGGTGGCATGCAGAAAACATTAGCCTACTCTTGAAACTGAAATTTGGCGCCTTTATAAAGACGTTTTTTTATTTTGTGTACCAACTGCTAATGGGGCCGCTACGTAGGCACCTCTTTAAGGTATTTTTTTTAATGGATACGTTTTAATTATCAATAACGATTGAGCATTCACGTTGGTAAAGTCAGTCGCTGTACTGCTAAGGCTCATTCCATTAATATATTAAGTGATTACTGTCGTAAAGAGAGTCTGATAGGATTATAAGCAACAGTTGATTTTTCGATGTGTAACCTACATCTGTTTATCACTATTTTAGGAGCACACTACAAAGCATAAGTTAAAACCCAAGAACTCACAAGATTTATTATAGGACCCACTACATTGCACAGTATAACCAATATAAAAAACGGCGCCAACACCACCAGTGTTACTAATGTTTGAAAGCTTCTGTTTTACTGAAGTGGTTGCTCCATCCCCAATAGACAAATACATTTAAGCTTTATAGTTTCTCTTTGTCAGCTTCCGCGTACTCACGCATGGATGTAAGGTAAAATAAACGAACTGCGGCGATATTGTAAGAGAGCAATTGCTTTGATGTGTTCATTTAACCTCGGGGTTCTGTTTACCTTTAAACCATGGGGTGCATTTCAACCTTTGGAATAATGGTAAAAAATAGTAAATGCAGAAAGGATTTGGAATAGGGAATATTCTGAACTAAATGCGAGTCTGGGGCAGACTGAATAAAAGTATTAGACAGGTTAGCATCCATATGTGACCAATAAATAAAAACTTGGCAATTGTTCAATGTTTTCAGTAAAGCAAACATCGCCTTTTTCCGTGCGGCTTTGAGAAATAAGCCTTGCTTAGCAGGATTTAGCAGACTTTTGGTACAGCCATCTGGCACTCAGAAAATTAAACAGGGCGAGGTCACTGAGATAAACCCAATTACAAAACAAATGGTTAACAACTCATGAATAAAACTTTTAAACAATGTTAAAGGGCGAAAAACTCTACGAGCTTGGTGTAACCCAAGAAATCTGTCCCAAACCACGCCCGCCTTTCTTCCACATCATTTCCAGCATTATCTAGAGAAACTGGGGTTTTGTGTTATTTCGCTGCAATCTGTGCTGCCCACCTCGCCAGATTTCTAATGATTTTCCAATGATGATTTAAAAGTCTTTGTGCCTCCTGATTCTTTCACTCCCTGGCAGGCCTTTTGAATATCATTGCATTTTGTCCAGTTCTCGCCTCGACGACTTCATTGATGCGGCTCTTTTTGTCGAAACTTTAACAGGGTCACCAGATCAAACATTGCGTTTCAAAAGTTAAAATAAGAATAGAATAACTTCTGGAGAGCACCACTGTTGCATTTCATGCCCTAAAATAATGAAATAACTTTTAGAGGAAAAACGCATCACCGGTTATGATTCATTCACATTTGGTTACATTTAAAACCTTATAGTCTTTTTAGAGTACAATCACGAAAAAAACAACAACAATCAAGGAAACAAACTGACATTTTTTAAAGAAAGGCTGGACTTTACACTTTAAATGGAATTATTTCTTTTCAGTGAGCTGCCTAATTTAAGAAATGCACCCATCGGTGGGACATTCACGAATCTCTCCTGAGAAAAGCAGTTTAGGTCAATTACATTGAAAAAGCCAAGATTAATAATTTTTAAACTTATTTTCAAATCTAATGCAATGTCTGTCACGTTATTCATTTTATTCGATGTAAGTGGCGTCTGGTCTACAGGTATATACTGATTTCAAATAAATACGTCCAAATGTTATTGTCGTTGTCCTCTCTATCTCCCCCTGTTGGTCAGCTAGTCCTGCTGAAGTTTCACAAAAGTGAGCCAAAAACGCTTAAAGCAGAGACAGACGTGTGGAAGAAATGCAAGAACATGTTTTCAAGTACTAATACAGACTGATACAAAAAACAAACCACGATTAGATTATTCATAGCCGTGCCATTGGAAATCACACTTTAAAGAGTATGATTTTACAAGGTTTGCACAGTTTTAAACCCACAGCAAGCCATGAGAAATGTAAGAAATGTCATATTTACATGCGAATCAGTCAATTTAAGGCTGATATACCTTTTTTTGCTTTATGAAGTGTTCTGACACCAGATACTTTCTGCTGAAAGATGGTATTACAGTTACTCATGTTATTTATATACGTTATTTTGCATTAAAATTGAACCTGTAATGTTCCCATACGTAAAACTTTAATTCTGCTTTCATTTTAATCTATTACTGTGATGATACCGATATATCAAGCGACACACACCCAAAAGCTTTATACACGGAAGATGGAGGTACCCAGTCTTCGAACTGGGTCAGAGGTTTGTTGCGATGTAAGAGCTTTACAAAGAGGACAACGTCGACAAAAGCGTCTCCGTGGGGATTCAGGTAGTGTCTTGTGTGCACACATCCGTGTCACGGGCTCGCGTGTCTTCCTTTGCTTTGATTGTTCAAGGCGCCTGCTTTCCAAAGTAAATCTTCCAGCACCCTGCTGAGATAATCAAAAGTGTGGCTGTTGAGCAAAGGTGTTAAAAGCAAACGAACAACAAACGCGAGACAGAAGTATATTTAATGTCTTAAGTGTCGTTGATTGTCTCACTGTCAGCCATCGAGGGGAATAACGCGTGATTTGAAGCAAATATTTCAACAAGTATTTCAAATATATAAATATGCGTGGATT